AAATCCGGGAATACGTTAAGAAATTTTCGGACTTGATGCTTGAAATTCCAGATCTCTCGCCCAAGGAGGCGTTCTTTACTTTCATGGACGGTCTCAACCGTTGGGCCAAACTCGAGCTACAACGGAGAGAAGTCCAGGACATCGATCGGGCATTAAAGGTGGCCGAGTCGCTTGTTGAGTTCCAAAGGAAGGATAACTCCAAGGACAAGGGCAAGAAGCCGTTCCAAGGCAAAGGTGGGGGAGACAAAGGGAAGTCTTCCACACCCGCGAAATCGGCAGCCGACTCCACAAAGCCGTCTTTGAGCAAGGAGACTAAGGGGGACAAGCCAAAGAAGTTTCAAGGGTGCTTCTTGTGCGGGGGAGCGCACATGGCACGTGATTGCCCGTCTCGTTCGAAGTTGGCAGCATTGGCGCAAGGTTTGTGCCAAGAAGAGGAGAAACGGGTCGCTTGCATGAAACGGCTAGACGCCGTGCATGCCAAGGCCGAGACACGTCAAGGCCGTCTTTACATGGAGGCATCGTTCACAAACAGGTCTAGATGGGGCATGCTAGACACGGGGGCCGATACGAGTTATCTCACGGAAGAGGTAGCCCGTACGCTTGGAGTCAAGTGGACACCTAGCAAAGGCCGTTTCAAGGGTGTGAACGGCGAATGGACAGGTCTTGTGGGCGAAGCAAGAGACGTGCCTCTTAAAATCGGCAACTGGTCAGGTACCGCTAATTTCTCCATTGCACCTATGGATGATTATGGTCTTGTGTTTGGCATGGAGTTTTTAGACCAGGTAAAGCCGATCATCGTGCCTAGCAATGACACGATGGTGATCCTCCAAGGCGAGAAGCCTTGTGTGGTAAAGTTTAGACGGGAAAATGAGATTAGCCCTTCCCAGCTGAACAAGGGGCTAAAACGGGGCGAACACACCTTTGCCGCCATGGTGTTTGAGGAGGAACCATGCACAGAGGAGCCGGCAAAGGAGGAACGAATCCCGCCTCCCATAGAACGAGTCCTTGTTGAGTTCAAGGACGTGATGCCCGACGATTTGCCCAAAGGTCTTCCACCAAGAAGGGAGGTTGATCATGCCATCGAGTTAGTGGACGGGGCGAAACCGATAGCCAAGGTGCCTTATCGTATGTCCCCTAGCGAGCTAGAGGAGCTCAAGGTGCAAATCAAGGAGCTACTTCAATCGGGTCATGCAAGGCCGTCTAAAAGCCCGTGGGGTTCGCCGGCCTTGTTCCAACGCAAGAAAGATGGGACGCTACGTTTGTGCATCGACTGTCGAGCGTTAAACAAGCTAACCGTGAAGAACAAGTACCCTATCCCACTTATAGCGGACTTGTTCGACCGGCTGCAACGGGCACGGATCTTTTCCAAGTTAGACTTGCGGAAGGGATACTACCAAGTACGCATAGTACCCGGTGATGAACCGAAAACGGCCATGGTGACGAGGTATGGCTCTTATGAGTTTCTTGTTATGCCGTTCGGTTTAACTAACGCCCCAGCCACGTTTTGCACTCTGATGCAGCGTGTGCTAGCGGATTTCAATTATAAGTTCATTGTAGTGTACTTGGACGACATCGTTATCTATAGTAACACAATGAAGGAGCATGTGGAGCATCTTAGAGCCGTTTTTCAAGTCCTTAGGGAAAACCAGCTCTATGTTAAAAGGGAGAAGTGTTCCTTCGGCCTTGAGGAGGTGTCGTTCTTGGGACACATCATTGGTGGGGGCAAAATCCGCATGGATCCGGCCAAAATCAAAGCTATCGTGGAGTGGGAAGCACCCACGAAGCCAACAGAGTTGAGATTGTTCTTGGGGCTTGTTAATTACTATCGGCGGTTCATTGAAGGACACTCCGCCATAGCCGCTCCATTAACGGATCTCTTGAAGAAGGGGCAAGCTTGGTGTTGGACACCAAAACACCAAACAGCGTTCGAGGCTTTAAAGGACGCCGTCACTCGAGAGCCAGTCCTAGCTCTCCCTGATTTTGAGAAACCGTTCGAGGTGTGCACGGATGCTTCGGACTTCGCCATTGGGGGCGTTCTTATGCAAGATGGTCACCTGATCGCCTTTGAAAGTCGCAAGTTGAATGAGACCGAGAAAAGGTGGCCGACGCACGAGAAGGAGATGTTGGCTATAGTTCACTGCCTTAGAGTTTGGGAGCACTACCTAAAGGCCGCCACACCGTTCAAGATCAAGACGGACAATCGGGCAGTGAGCTACCATCAAAGCCAACCTAAGCTTTCAAGCAAGCAAGCACGTTGGTTGGACTTCTTGGCCGAGTTTAAATACGAGCTTGAGTATAGCCCGGGGAAGACTAACCACGTGGCCGACGCCCTAAGCCGAAAGGCGTGTCTTGCTCCAATCGTTAGCATACCTGAGGGGACGCTGGTTGATCGCATCAAGAAGGGTCTTGAGCACGACCGTCAAGCCCAAAGGTTCATGGAGCTCGTGAAGGAAGGCCAGACAACACGATTCTGGCTTGAGGATGGGATACTTTATGCCAAGGGGAACCGTTTGTACGCACCCGCATGGGATGGACTTAGAAGGGAGATTCTAAGGGATTGCCATGATAGTCGTTATGCGGGTGACCCAGGTACGCATCGCACACTTGCCTTAGTCCATGAACGGTTCTATTGGCCTCGCATGCGGGAAGATGTGGAGACGTATGTAAGGACTTGTCTAGTTTGCCAACAAGACAAGACCGAGCAAGACCACCCGCATGGCTTGTTATCACCCTTGCCTATTCCAGAACGCCCGTGGGACAGCGTTTTGATGGATTTCATCGTGAGCCTGCCTGTTTCCGAGGGTTGCACCAACATACTTGTTGTGGTAGACCGTTTGTCTAAGTATGCGGTCTTCATACCCGCCCCAAAAGAGTGCACCGCAGAGATAACGGCCAAACTCTTTCTTAGGCATGTGGTGAAGTATTGCGGGCTACCTACATCGATCATAAGCGACAGGGACTCAAGGTTCACCGGCCGTTTTTGGCAAGAACTCTTTTGTTTGCTTGGGACGGAGCTCAAGATGTCTACATCTTTGCACCCGCAAACAGATGGACAGACGGAGCGCATCAACGGCCTCTTGGAGGTGTACCTCAGGCACTATGTGGCAGCCAACCAGAAAGATTGGGTACGTTTGCTAGACGTTGCCCAATTTTCCTATAACTTGATGCGGAGTGAGAGCACAGGCAAAAGTCCGTTTGAGATTGTCCTTGGTTTCCAACCGACTACGCCTAAGGACATTCTTGGGGGTTACAAGGGCAATAGCCCACCCGCATACAAGTTTGCCAAAGATTGGCAAGAACGGGCCGACGAGGCAAAACTCTACTTGGAGAAGTCGGCCGCACGCATGAAGAAATGGGCGGATAAGAAACGGACCCGTCGCGAGTTTGAAGAAGGCGACCAAGTCTTGGTGAAGCTTTATGAGCATGGACGGAGCCGTGGTTTACACAAGGGTCTCATGCGCAGATACGAGGGTCCTTTCACCGTTCTCAAGAAAGTGGGTTCGGTTGCTTACAAGCTGGAGCTACCCGAGGCCTTTTCAAGGCTTCATCCAGTCTTTCATGTGAGCCTACTTAACCCAATGAGTGAGACGAGTTGGGAGCCAATCGAGAAGCTTTGGCAATTCACCAAATTGATCGAGGACTTTGAGGAGAATCGTGCACCCGTTCCTATCAACATTGACTTCGAGACTTAGGTGCATCGGGGTGATGCACCATTTTGGTGGGGGAGGATGTCACAGACAGTTTTTCTTCACCACGAATTCGGGTGGTTTGATGCGAAACGGGCTATTTTTGTAGACGGACAAGGGACAGAACGGTCTAGAGCCTTGTGGAATTCTCCGGTCAAATCTTGAAGACTCTGGAATTTTCTAGAGAGGCCCGGAACTCTCTAGAAACGGGTGGAACCGTGTGGAAGTTACCCGAGTTTGCTAGAACCGTGTGGAAAATTCTAGAGACTTGTAGATATTTTGAACTTAGAATATTTTATTGTAAGAATTTTCTAGAATTCCATTATTTTATTATGTACATAGAATTCTTTAGGACTTAGGGTTTGCCTATAAATACCCCATGCCCCCTTCATTTGTAATCCATCCAAGCTTTGAGTAGAGTTCTCAAGCATTCCTTAAGCTCTCTTGTGCCTTCATCATTCTTTCACTTTCAACCTTTCTTAAGTTTTTCTTTGCCTCCGTTCTTTAAAGTCTTGCCTAGCTTTGCACGCTTTGGGGGTCTTAAGGCTGAGCTAGCACTTGATCGTTAGTTGTTTTGTGCTAGTGCTGCACGGCGGTTACTTTGAAGAAGTAAGCCCGTGACATTGGGATTCACCATCTCCTCGGGCTTCTTGAAAGTCTAAAAATCAATATTGTGGTCCAACAATGGATTTTGAAGCTCGTTGATATATTCCATAAGAAGCTTGATCTCATGAGTTCTTTCGTTGAGCATATCCATTGCCGAAATAAACCGGCAAGTTCTTATCGAGATCATGTGTTGTACTCGAGCGAGTACATGATACTTCTCAAGAAACCACGGTGATACAGTAATTTCCTGATTTTGTCTCAACTAACTGTTTTACTTTTGCAAGGTAACCAGCTCATCATGAATATCAGTCTTTATCTTTCTAGAAGTCTCGCCGTTCTATCTCTTCACGAAGCCCTTTGATCTCATCAATTAAATGTTGATTGAACCTCACATTGTGCGCCTGCATAGGATCGAGGAGATCTACCTCCAAGTTCATCATTGTCTCGATGCTATGTATCTTAGCGCATCTTCTCATAATATTTCTAATCATCGAGTACAGAGAGTACTCCCTCGGTTGTTCCTCAGACAAGATCATGAGGTGAATTTGGTGAACAGACCAACTATCCTGTTCCAAGGAAAATGGTAAAGGCCAATATCAAACTTGGAAAGCAAAACAACGCAGCATTCATATAAGGGCCATATAAAAACGAGAGTTGATTACAAAAATAATCATTCAAATTGCTAACAGCTATTACAAGAGGAAGAGTTCATACAACATCATGTCCAGAAGAGGCGTTCTTTGGATGGCTCTGAGATGCCTCTCCAGCATTCTTCTGCGCTCCTAAATTGCCAGTATCAGCCACATCTTCCTTTGAGGCTGCATCATCATCATCCTCAAGCTCGATGCCAATATATTCATCCGGCACATCAATTCTTGGCTCTTCTTCACTGGGCTCCTTGGATAAGACTCCAGCAAGGTCACCAGGGAAGGTGGTGATATCTTCGGGAGTGCCCATCTTAGCAAGAGCTTCGCACAAAAACTCCCATAGGGGCAGCTACTCGATGAGCTTGGTAAGAGCTTTTACCAACACCTCGTGCATGGTCTTCTTGGGACTCTCCCTTAAGAACTGTTTGAACCACTTAGCTTTAATGGGCATGTCCCTATTAAGCCTTTGAGACCTGCAACAGCAACTTTATGGGCTCCGTACTCTGTGGTAGCCATTTTGACCTCGTCGATAACTGTTGCCATTCCGCCAGTAGAAGCATCCTGAACCAGAAGGCAGTGCACCACCTGTGGAGGTCCTCCCTTGAGATGTGCAGATTCGTAAAGACCTTAAGCTTCTCGTCTAGTTCGTTGTACTTAGCCCGTACAGAGGCTAACTCCTATTCCTTGGCCTATATCTGCTGGGTCTTTTCCTCGAGAGCAACCTTCTCGATCAGTGCTTAGTCCCTCTCAGCTCGAGCTTGGACAAGTTCTAGCCTCAATTTTCTTGAGTGCATCAAGTAGGCCATCAAGGCCGTATTCATCTGCAAAAGTTGGTGGTTAAGACGAATTTCATCTGTAAAAGGTTAACAAGACTATTCACTAACTGACATGAAGTACTTACCAACCTCACACTGTCGGTTTCTGTTAGTTATGCAGCAAATTCTTCCAGCAAGGGGCATGCAATGGTTGGAGGATCTCCAAAACGTGTGGACTACCACAGTTGGTCCTCCCTCGAACATATGGGAAGGTGAATAATTGCCTCTCCGTCGAGAAGACCCTTGCCTTTGTCCATGGCAGGTTGTTTATTGCTTGGCCCAGAGTCCACTGGAGGAACATTGGACTTCTCGGTCGCTGGGGGAACGATCTTTTCTCCTTCAACTGCTGACTTTGTTATGAGGGCGTCAGCCTTTGCCTTCTTTCTTTGCACCTTCTCAGAGCCTTTTGCGACTCTCTTCTTTTTCTTCTTGGGTCCAGCGGTTACAGTGGTCGACACCTCTTCATCTGAATTCACAATAGAAAAGGTGTCTTCATCACCATAAAGTCGAGAACCAGCATTGCTCGATGACATGACCTAAAAACAGCAAAAGCAATAAAAAGAGATTAGTACCTTTCTTCTCCTCGACAGGGGTCTCGAGAGTGCTATTAACTTCTTTCTCCACAACGGGAACAACGGGAACAAAATGCTGCACAGCCTCCCATTTAACTATTTTGGAGTACTTCTCGAGTTTCTTAAAGACCTCGCTAAACTCCTTGATCTTTTCTTTGTCTTCATCTGTCCAATCATCCTTTATTGCCTCGAATCCATTGGTTTCTTGGTGATTCCAGGCAACAAAATACTTTTCAGGCACCTTTACATACAAAAAGTTTGGTTTCCATATAGGAGAACCGCCATACGCCTCAACTATCTTCTTTCCACCTGAATTGGGGTTCCTCTTCACGATATACCAATCTTGGAACAATGTCGAGGACATGGATACTTTAGAGAAATATCTCCATAGAAACACACATGGTTTCACTTTCACCCGTTGACATATTTTCACAAAACCGAGAACGTAGGTTATCACATTCGGGGTAAATCGTGCCAAGGGAATTTTATAGTGTTGGACAATCTCCTCGAACAAAGGAAAAAGGGAAAATCTCAACCCTAGATACATAAAGCGGTCATATATGGTGATTTTTCCTGCTGGAGGAGTATTGGCTCTCTCGGTTTCTAAAGGGGCTCTTATTTCTAACTCTACGAGAAGGTCATATCTCGTTTTGACATCATTAACTCTATCACTAGAATTAATGGTTGAAGCAAAATTATCTACAGTTTTTTGATATGGGTTCCTAGCCATATCTACCACAATCTCACAGATCTAAATTAGAACTGAAATTCTAAAGGAATTGAAACAGTGGAGATGGGTTTGAAAAACTTACTATCGGAGAAGATCTCCACTCGCCTTTCGAATTGTAACCTCCCAGTGTAGTGATAGCCTCCGGCGAGTCCTGTAAGTGCTGCGACAACGACAGTGACTATGCAGGGGCAACTAAGGGATTTGACAAACCCTTGGATTGTGCTCTTAACACAACTTCTTCCAACAATAGTAGTTTCATCGACGGAGGTATCACTGATATTAGAGATTCTGGCGACAATAACAAAGTAAAGCTTTGGGAGAGTTTTGGGGTAAAGAGTTTTGAAGACGAGTGAAGTAAATAGATTTGGTTTGTTCCAGTCACTATAAAGGAAATTAATCCCTCCACGATTTGACGGCTTATAACACTAGGATTCGAATTACAGCTTTCATGTGATCCTCACTAGGATTATGAATAAACTGGCTTACAACACTCACATCATAAGCTATATCTAGCCAGGTGTGAGAGGGATATATCAGCTTTCAAACTAATCTTTGATAATGTCCTTTATTTGTAGGCACTTGGTCATGACTTTGTTCAAGCTTATGATTTGAGTCCATAGGCGTGTCAGCTGGCTTACACTCCAACAAGCTTCAGCTAGTACATCCAAAACATATTTTCGTTGAGAAAGAAATATTCCCTTCGTGGATCGGGCAACCTCAATTCCAAGAAAGTATTTGAGTCCTCCTAGATTTTTCATCTCAAACTCCACAGCTAGTCTCTCTTGGAGTCGGGTTATCACCTCAGAATCATTGCCAGTGATGATCATATCATCAACATACACTATCAATGAAGTAACATTACCATTCATGTGCTTCAAGAATAGTGTATGGTCAGAGTTACTTTGCTGAAATCCATATTTCTTCATTGCCAAGCTAAACCGTCTGAACCAAGCTTGAGGAGACTGTTTCAACCCATATAGTGTCCTTTGCAGCTTGCACACAAATTTCCCATCTATGTTTGCTTGGTATCCAGGAGGTATATCCATATAAATTTCTTCCTGAAGCTCTCCATGGAGAAATGCGTTCTTTACATCAAATTGATGTAGTGGCCAATCAAGATTAGCTGCTAAGGATAATAGAACTCTAACAGTGTTTATTTTGGCAACGGGAGAAAAAATCTCTTGATAGTCTATGCCATATGTTTGTGTGTACCCTTTCACTACAAGCCTCGCTTTAAACCTCTCTACTATTGCATCAGCCTTATATTTCATGGAAAATACCCATTTACACCCTACTGTCTTCTTTCCCATTGGAAGTGAAACAAGAGTCCATGTCTGATTCTTTAATAATGCATTCATCTCTTCCTTCATTGCTTCAACCCATCGTGGATCTTACAATGCTTCTTTAACACTTGTAGGGATATGGCATGATGATACTTCTTTCACAATTTTGGAGAGGTTTCGAAAGCTTGTTTGAGTTCACATAGTTTGCAATCGGGTACTTTGATCTCCGGTCTTCTTCTTCACGGGAGTACCGATTTGGAGGCTTTCCTCAATTGCGCCTGAAAGGTAGCTCATATCTACTATTTATGTCATTAGAAACATTGAGATTAGTTTGAGCACTTACCTTAGTGATATTCTTAGGAGATGACTCATTGATAATGGCATGAGGAGGGGTTTTAAGTGGGTGCTTCTTCAAGTGTAGATTCTGCTAGTGGTTCCCCTATCCCAGTTTCGGTGGTGATTTTACCCAAATCATCCATTGGTGTTGCCTCCAAACCATATCCAAGCCAATCAAGCTTTAGCCAATTCAGATCTTCTTTTTCTATCTCCCCCTAAAGAGCTAAGTTGGGTACACTTTGAGAGTAAAATAATTCAGATTCAAGAAAGGTGACATCCATGGTTACAAAAGTGTGCCGAGTACTAGGATCATAACACATATATCTCTTCTGGTTTACACTATAGCCAAGAAATAGACATCGCCGAGCACAAGGATCCAGCTTAGCCCGTTGATTTTTGTGGAGATGAACAAAGGCCACACAACCAAAGACCCGAGGCAGAAGCGTCAACAACGAGGGCAGAGAAACATGTGTGGACTAAGCTTGTAGTGGTGTTTGAAAGTTCAAAAACTTTGAGGGCATATGATTGATTAGGTGCACGGCGGTCTTTCCTGCATCAGCCCAGAAATGGCCTGGAACGTGAGCACCTAATAGCAATGCCCAGGAAGTCTCAAGAATGTGACGATTCTTTCACTCTGCTACTCCGTTTTGTTGGGGAGTTTGGGGCCATGAGGTTTCATGAAGTATTCCATGCTGATTGAAGTAACCTTGAAACTGTTGGTTTATGTACTCACCCCCATTATCCGAATGGAGGATTTGAACTCTAGTAGAGAATTGGGTAAGTATCATCTCATGAAAAGACTTAAAAGCAGCAAATACTTCATCTTTATGCTTCAATAGATATAACCAAGTCATTCGAGTGCAATCATCAATAAAAGTCACAAACCATCGAGTACCGCTCAAAGTTGATTTCGGGGATGGACCCCAAAGATCATAATGGACTAAAGAAAATGGAACAAAATTTTTATTCATGCTTAATGGATAGGATACTCAATGGCTCTTGGCCATGATGCAAGTTTCACACTTAGAATCCAAATCAGATAAATCCAAAAACAAACTAGGAAACAAATGCTTTAGATATCCAAAAGAAGGATGACCCAGCCTTCGGTGCCATAATCAAATCTGCTCCTTCTTAGAGTTCCAAGGATGACTCATCTGATATGCTTGACCCACACTCAAATCCTCCAAGTAATACAAACCCCCTCGCTCAATACCACGCCCAATGATCTCTTTCTTGAGAACATCCTGAAGAAGACAGAAGGAAGGATGCATTAGTGCGAAACAATTCAGTTCACATGTTACTTGACTAATGGATATGAGCTTATGTGAGAGAGAGAGAGCACAATTAAAGTGTTTGGGAGAGAAAGAGAGGGTAACAGATTTACTGTCCCAACCCCGGCTACCGAAGAAACCATCCCATTAGCATTAACAATGCTCGTTCGCCGTGGAGGTGTTTGGATAGAAATATTACCACTATCATAAGTCATGTGGTCAGTTGCTCCAGAATCAAATATCCACAAATCACAAGAAGTATCTGCAAGAGATGTAGTACCTTGGTTGGTGTCAAATTGACCTTGTGATTTTTCTCCGGTAGATGGCCCTGGGACAGTGCTCATAACTGTAGCTGTACCTCCTCCTTGAATTGCTTGTGGTTCTGTCATCACCAAAGCCACTTTTCCCTCCATTTCTTTTTTCCTTTTGGCCTGAAGTTCATGCCACCATTCAGGATAGCCATGGAGTTTAAAACATGTATCCCGAGTATGCTTCGCACCCCCACAATGTGTGCACTTTGTCCCTTCAGCAAATTTGGTCTTGCTCATTGAGTTTTGTTTTTCCCTGTTTAAGAAAAGATTACCTGCGCCGTTCTTGATACCTTGTGCCGGCAGAACTGCTCCAGAATTTGCCACGATTTCTTTGTTTCCTGTCATTACTGCCTGCCTTGTACATTCTTTCCGAACATGTGCATATGCTTCTTCTACCATTGGAAAGGGTTGGCGATGTAACACATCACTTCGGATCTTGTCAAGCCGATCATCTAAGCCATCCAGGAAAGTATACACCCTCTCTTCCTGCACAATTTTATTGTATTGCTGCAGCATATGTCATGGGGTCTGGGTGCCTAAAGTTAATCTCACACCACAGACCCTGCAGATCATTATAGTACTTTTCCAGGGATCCTCCTCCTTGTCTAAGTCTTGCAACCCGCCTTCTTACTTCGTAGACTTGAGAGACATCACTACCATCAAAATAAGGAGTAGCTATAGCATCCCATACCTCTTTGGTGGTCTGAAATCTGATGAAATTCCCAATCATGGACGTATCCATTGAGTTGATAAGCCATCCTTTGACAACAGGATTATCGGTTCTCCATCGTCGAAACGCTGGATCAGTTTCCGGGGGTGGAGCAATGTCACCATTGATAAAACCTAGTTTATCCTTCCCTACAGTATACATCTCAACAACTTGAGACCACAGTGCATAATTCGTATCATTTAATTTCACACCAATAGGTGTTGTAGAATCAACAGGGTAAGTTGGCGCTGAAGTGGTGGCCAAAACTTCAGACATCTTTGTAGATAATTCGGACAAAAGTGATGAAGACAACGAGTCTTCTGAAAGTTGAGTTGTGTTGGTCATGATTAAGAACATGAGAAAAGAGTTTATAGTGAAGAAAGATCGAGAATTAGAGAGCGAGGAAGAACATGCTCTGATACCATCTTGAAGGCCAAAATATAGGCCCACATGTGGTTCCACCTCAAAACCAATTAGTAATGAGGAGAATAGCAAATGAGGCATATATGTTGGCCTCAAGTGTTTCTTTCCATCCATGTGGGACAAGCGAACATGACGCATATTCATTCAACAAGCCCCTCTCAAGCCCAATGGACTTGGACGGGTAAACTTTTATAAATTTTTTTTCTTCAGTCTTGCGATTGATTATTTTTCTGATAAACTGTCGCCTACCGGGTCAGTCAAAGTTCAAAGTCAAAGCCCGAATCTGGGCAAGTCAAAGTCCGATATTAGTCAGTCAACCTCGCCCCACAAGTACCACAGGTCCGCGGATTAAAATCCGCTCTGATACCCTGACAAAAAGAGTTTTCTATTATTATTCATGAAATCAATGATCCAACCTATACATGATGACCAGTATTTATCAACATCTACAGCAGCAATATTTGGTAAGCTAAATCTACAGCATAAACTAATTTTACACGTTTTGAACATGTGAATCTTACTGGATAACAACGCATTTATTTTGATGTTATCCTTTCTGATTTTAGGGGGAAACTCCCGACAACAATACCAAGGGAAATAAAGCCTTTGATTACAGATGTTCTCAATTGTAGAAATGCATCTTTCATGTCTCCCTGGGTAAAAGGGGTACAGGAATTGGAAAAGCTAATACAATCTAGTTTTCCCGAGACAAACCACATATAGCTTTGATGTCAATGGTTGAATTGCTTTTTAATACCAAGGAGGCTGGAGAGGCAGTCTTGGTTTCCATTTTCGAGGTACCTCAAGACCCTGCATACGATTTTTTAGATCCCGAACAAAAGGTGCCCCTCAGGCTATTCAATGGTTAGTCATGAATCAACCCAAGTGCATATCAGAAATTGATCTAAAGGGAAGAGGCCAGTTTTTGAGTGATTTTTCCAATCTTAGCTCTGACATCAATCCAAGAAAACATTATCTCAAAAACTAGTTCTACACTTTCATTTGGTTCCCCTGTTAACTGATGCCACATCCCTGGAAAAATATTCATAGACTTATCCTTACTAGCAGCTGATTCAAAAACAAACTTAGCTGCTTGAGGATCACAGACAGTATCAGCTCCCCCATGCAAAATCAGCAATGGCACCTCTAACTCATGGCTTCTTCTTTCTATGTAAATACAGGCTTTGATGAACTCTTGTCGAGTTATTTTTGGAATCGGCATCATTGGAGTTGTTGGGAAATTCGGGCTCTTTCTGGTCAGCTTATTCTTCCATCCTTCTTTGATTAATTCCAGTGCCACAGGTTGTGGTAAATTATCTTTCCAAACACTGAACATTGCTCCACTTAAAATGAGTCCATTCCACTCATTTTTCTGCCTCAAGCAAATGATAGCAGAAATCGCTCCTCCAAGTGATTCACCATAAAGAAAAGCCGGCAGTTTAGGATGCTCTTTTCGAACAGAATCGAAGAACTGGATTGAGTCAGAAACCAAAGATAGAAAATCCGGGATGATCCCTGGTGAACCATCCGAATATCCATGGCCCTGAAGATCAAGAGCACACACAAAGTAGCCTTCTCTTGCCATGGCTACTGCATTTAGCTCAAACAGCCAGCTACTCTCTGCAGAATAACCATGGAGCATTGCCACAAGCCCTTTCAGTTTTGAAGTTGAATCCGCAGGCTGCCATGACTGTGTAAATATCTTCAGGTTTTTGTTGTTGAATATGAAGCTTTGTTTGTTTAGTATCTGATGCTTCTTGTAGAACCCTTCTCGTGAGAGATCTCCATAAGGGCTGTTTTTGTTTGCTTCATGAATTGGATGGGGAGCCATTTTTCTTTTTTGTTTGTAAGTTGGTGACCTTTTAGATCTAATTATAAGCTTGTGAGATTACTTCTTCAAACGTTGCTAACAATGCTGGGCCAGTTTCTCTTTACTGGCCGAGGCAAAGCCGGCCATGATTATTCGAGTCCAAAGACGTAAAGAAAAATCTTTGCAACAGTATTTGATCGCGATTTTGTTCTGTTTCGTGATTTGGTACCTTTTATTTATCTATTTATTTATTTTTTTGTAAAAAGCGTCTGGCAAATCTTTATAACCTGCTATCATTTCACATCTGAAATCCAATGAACTCTTGTAAAGAAATTGTTCGCATTGAGTTTGATAAACAACCTTATTGATCCTAATCTGCCTTGAAGAATTTCACTATCGCATAAGAAGGTTTTTAGTTCTGCACTTCTGAACACTATGTTTTGCACGGTGACAAGCTGGACGAGATGGAGGTAATTTTGGAGAATCATAGCTTGAGTTACTAGTCTCGGATTTGGATTCTGAAAGCTCGCTAGTGTAGACTCAAACTCCAATTGTTCGAACACTAAAAACGCAGTTGAAATTGGTACATCAGCACTGCCCCAGAATTCTCCAGAAATTCAGCAGAAACCAGCTTCCTTGATCGGATTTAGGATCCCAAACTGGACAATAATTTTGGGACGGAGGGAGTGCTTGATAACATTGTGAAGTTGGGAGAATTTGATACACTTTAGTTCATATAAACCAAAAGCTGATTCTGACCATAAAAAGCGGAAAATCAAACAGGCCTTGAAGTATGATTAGAACTAGAAGTACAACAACTTTCTTTTATCGCACATCTATAAATAATGATAATTTTGGCCATGATTCAAGTTTGTTGACGTTCAGGAGAGAACCAAATGTAAACTTTTGTAGTTTTTCAGTGTTAACATGTTGCATATTCAGTGACAAGTTTCCTTAATCTCTAACACTTGTCAAGTCCTGAAAACTCTTAGGGCATACACTTTTGTTCATGTCTGAATTGTTAAGTGTAATTAGTCACATTTCAAGCTGTCATCAACTCAATACTTCATGGATAGGTGGGTTGATTCTGAAATCACATAAATATTTCATCAGATCGATTTTTATTTATTTATTTATTTTTTTGTATCATAATTTTGTCCATCTGAGACCATTTTACTGCATGTTTTGCATTAAACCAAAGGACATCATCCGTCACATTGGACAGATGCAGATGAAAACTAAATGGTTCCTGGTGCTAGTGGCTTTTCGGAGTACTTCCTGAAGCAAATCTGTAGCCAATAGATTAAGTAATGCACGCTTACGATCTCAGGTTGGTACAAACTACAAACAGTTTCTATGGGAGAGCATACGCTTGCACAAAATTCAGATTTTAGTAATGTGATTTTCTTTCAAAAGGGGAAGTGCCTTTTTTGTTTGAAACCAAATTAAAGCCGAGCAGGAGAAGTGCCTCTAGAATGGAAATAAGATTAGGGCAATATGGAGTCATCTCATTTTTGAGGGTGCGATATATATAGCTATAGTTTCAAAGCATTTTGGTACACTTCATTTTTTAATTTTTTTTTTAATTGAAAACCATAATAACATTTGATATACTCTATTGGAATAACTCCTACAAAAATCCCATTTCAGTTGATTCATGGTAATCCCATAAGACCCCAAAGCGCGACCAATTAGAGAACCAAAATGAGGTATTCCCCTTTCTCACAAATACTTTGGAATGAGCAGTTGCCTTATATCGGATGTTTTGGATTCTCTTCCACATGGTTTTTTCCTTCACCGTAGGAGATAAAGAAATTCATGAATCTAACCCAAAGTCCCACATTTTTCCAAACCTTCCACCACAACTTAGCGGAAAAAACATCTATAACATCTCGGAATCTCCTTAAACCCAAACCATTTTCCTTCAAAGGATATGTAATTTTCTCCCAAGCCCTCCAATGCCGCTGCTTTTCTTCATTTGAGGTCCCCCATAAGAACTTTTGGCACTTTGCTTCTAACTCCATTATGATGCTTTTAGGTGGAGGAATTGCCGCAATTGTATGAATTGGGATTGCTGTCAAAACATGCTTAATTAATAGTAGCCTTCCGCCTTGCGACAAGAACTTGTTTTTCCAACTTGAAAGCTTCTTCTCAGAAGAATCCAACAAATGCTGAAAGTAACAACCTTTCTTTGGACCTTCAAACAATCTACACCCCAAGTAAACCAATGGAAAGGAACCTTTATCCATACCAAGAGCATTCTTTATAATTTCAACTCGTTGAGCCTTGCATTCTGATGACACCATGAGGAAGCTTTTATCCCTATTGATTCTCTGCCCCGTTGCCACTTCATAGTGCCCAAAAAAATGATTAAGAACTCGCAAAGACCTTTTCAGATCCCTAGTAAAAACTATGAGATCATCTGCAAAAGACCAACCGCCGTTACAAAGCGCGCAATCCTTCCTTCATGTACTAGAAAATTCAGCCTTCTTGAGGGGACATTGGATCGCCCTATTTAAGGCCTCTAGAGGACTACTGAAAGAACCCAGCTGGAGAGCCATTAATCAGCACTGAAAACTAGCTTCTCTTCAAGTTATTCATAATCAATTCAATATTGGAGGAAACCCAAAAGCCAACAAAACGGCCCTAAAAAGCTCCATGTAACTCTATCAAAAGCGTTCATCAAGTCCACTTTAATGATCACATTGTCACCTTTCGCCTCATGCTTCAAAAATTGACATAAATCCTGAGCAAGCAAGACGTTCTCAATTATATCCCGACCCAAGAAAAAAGCCGATTGCTCCTCCAATACCAATTTACTCGAGCATTTCTTCATCTGTTCTGTTAAGATCTTGGTAAAGACCTTGTTTAGAAAGATAGATATACTTATAGGCCTAAAATCTGCAAATCTCGAAATTGCACTTCTCTTCAGAATCAATGTGATCAAAGTACTTCCCACCGCTCGCAGCAAAGGAACCCCATCCATGTATTCCCTGCATGCGGCCAACAAGTCCCTTGAAATTACATTCCAGCAACATCGATAGAACTCCCCACTGAATCCATCAGGCCCTGAAGCACTATCGGGATCCAATCCATAAACGGCTGTCCTAACTTCATCTAACTCCAAAGGGAGCAATAAAGTCGAACAATCTTCTTTCGTGAGTAGTGAAGGAATGTGTTGAATCAAAACCCCTTGCGCTTGATCACTTCCCTCAACTTCTTCACATGCGAGAAGATTCCAAAAAAAATTCACTGCCTCCACTTCAATATCGTCCCTCTTATCCAACCATAAGCCATTCTCAGATTGAATTTTGTTGATCGTAAGTTTCAATCTCCTCTCAGCTATAGAAGCATGGAAGTAACTTGTATTAGCATCATCCTCTCTAAGCCACTTCAATTTCATTTTTTGTCGCCAAAAATCATCCCGCTCTCTAAGCTTTAAAATGAAATGAGCTTTTGCTTACTGAAGCTTGATTCTGTGATCAACGCTTTTTGAAAGATCATATTGAGTTTCCAGGGAACTAACTACCTCTTCAGCTTCTTTAAGATTGTCAAAGACATTCCCAAAAGAATTTTTATTCCATTCCTTCAATGCCGATTTCAGCCTTCGCAGCTTAATAGAGAAAGCATGCATACCATAACCCACAACCGGCTGATTCCAAGAGTCCGTTACAAATGACATAAAATTCTGCCTTCTAAACCACATATTTTGAAAACGGAATGGCTTCGGCTTAGACTCTGATGCCACCCAAAAAGTATGCAGCATTCGGGAGTGATAAGATGGAGCTCGATGCAAATTCTGAATTGAAGAGACTGAAAAATAATCAAGCCATTCCACTGAGAACAAGACGCGATCAAGTTTCTTACAAACCTAGCCATTCTGCCGTGATCCTCCCCAGGTGAATTCTTCCCCAAAAGCCTGAATTTCAGAAAGATTACAGTCACTAATACAACCATTGAAGTCATCCATTGTGCCCCGATTTTGGATTACTGTGCCAGAATATTCATCGAGACATCTAATGGCATTAAAATCACTAACAACCATCCACTTTCTTCCAGCATGATCATCATTAAAGGCCTTCAAACCTGCCCACAATTGCTGCCTTTCTCTTCTACTTGATTTTGCATATACTGCAGAAACATAGAAGGAACCATCAACAAGCGGATGCTTAGCTTCAAAATGCAGAACCTGTCCCTTATCTGCCAATAAAGATAACACAAAGCCATTTTTACAGAAGACCCATATTTTGCTGGAAGAGGATGAGAAAGCATGGTCAAATCTCAAAATCCGTCGAAAATCATCAAGCTGGTCAACTTCTAGCATTGGTTCAAGAATAATCAGAGAAGACACAGAATGCGTTTGAATCAAAGACCTCAATCGCAGCTCTGCCACTTTATTTTTCACACCCCTAACATTCCATATTAATTGCTTAATCATTGGAAAAAAATTTTATTGTAAGTAACACTGGACCTTTATTGCAAACGAGCTGAACGACGGAGTACAAGACCCTCCGTCATTTGTAATCTTTCCTCCTTGGTTTTTCTACCTCGTTTCCTCTTGACAGTGACAAAGCCTTGGCTTAACTCTTCCAGCTATGGGTCTTCCATCTCCCCTTCCGACCAGCACCCTCCTTCTACTTCCTCCTCTTCAAATAAACCACCTGTTTTAGTACCAGGTTCTTCATCAGACGCATAATGGACGACTCGACCAGAGCATTGGATCAGACTTCTTGCCAATAGATTCTGCTTTGCAGACTGTTCGTTTACAGCATTAGTGGCTTCCTCATCAGGCTGCTTAGACTCTTCACTTTCATCCTCGGTATGATTTGCTTCTTCAACCGTTACAATTTCAGCCAGGGGTTGAAATTTATTGCTATCACATGATTCTACATGCTGTTGTAATTGCTTCTGCGGAGAGGGTGATGTTTTTTTTGAATGTCGTACTTTACGCTCCTAAACATTACCCTCGTTTTGCACATCAGTCGAAGGGCTAGAATTTTCTGAGGCACATCAGTCGAAGGGCTAGAATCATTTGTCACATCAACCGGAATTAGACTTTTCTCCTCAAGCGTTAACCTTGACGAGTACGAATCCCCTTCAATTTGCACACTTTTTGGCTCTACGGTTGCCACAGTAGTAGATGGCTTTGAATTCCACTTGGCAGACTTCTTAATCAGAATGCCTTGACCCTTCACATCCTTCTGCGGCTGTTTTTCTTGGCTAGGATTTTTCACAACTTGCGCAGGTGGAAAAGCTTTGCCCTTGCGACATTCTTCCTCCTTGTGACCGATCTTTTTGCATTTGGAACAAAAAGATGGCACGTACTCATAGGTGAACATGTTCGTGTTTCTTTCCTTGTTTCCCAATTTTGATGGATTTCGGCAGTTCTTTTGTCAAGTCTACTTCAACGAAGGGTCGAGCAACCGATGCCCGTGTGTATCTACTTGGAGAGGTTTCCCAATCGCTGTGGCAACTGAGAAAAGAATCTTCAGAGTTAAGAATTCAATTGGCAATTCTAGTAGTGATACCCAAATAGGAACCACTGGAGGATCCTCCTCAAACTTAAAACCGGGCTGCCACTTGAGGATCCTCATTTGGAAACCTTGAATAGTCCATGATGAACGAATCCAACATCTCTGCGTGCTCAAACCAAATGAGAACATGCCTAGAGTTCATGAGACCAATTTCAAAGCCGCCATGAAACCCTATTTTTCATGTAATTTTCCTATAATTGACCATAGTCATTTTGGGTTATTGGTGTACTTTTTAGGAAGTGATTTATAATATTATTGACTAAATTATTATACAATACTTTTTTTTTCCAAAAAGGGACATAATAAAAATTTACTTTTATTAATTATATTTGAAAATATAATCAACTAAATTCATAAAAAAATTTCATACCCGTGCGAATGCACGAGTCAAGAACCTAGTCTATAATAATAATAATAATAATAATAACAATAATAATAATAATAACCCCCATGATAACAAAAACCACTTTTCTCCTAAAAATCCAAGTGTCATTATTTCCTTAAATATCTCTTCTCCAAATTTCTCCCAAAAAAAAAAAGAAATAAAAAATAAATAAAAAATCCGAGTGGCAGTTTTATATACCATAAAAAGAACTCCTAAAGGTAGTTTGCGGTGGTCAAAAAATAAAAAAATAAAAAATGCTCTAATCTTCATCTTAGTGTATATTTAATTGCATGAAAGTCTCCTCAGCATAAAAGGAAAATCAGTATAAGTAAAACAAAATAAAAGACGGGTTATTCCAGCTCAGCTAAATTTAGCTAATTTCAATACACCGTTGATGTGGTCTAAAACGTTAATGACGGTGGGTATAAATATTTTATTTTCCACTTTGAGGAAAGTAGCCTAATTTGGGTCCTCAAATTTTTATTTTTTAAAAATATTCATACTATAGTTGACAATAGTCATTTTGGATTATTGGTGTACTTTTTAGGAAGTAATTTATAATATTATTGACTAAATCATTATACAATACTATTTTTTTTTCTAAAAAGGGACATAATAAAAATTTACTTTTATTAATTATATTTGAAAATATAATTAAAGAAATTCATAAAAAAAATTCGTACCCGTGCAACCTAGTTAAAAATTTAAAAAAAAAATTGCAAGTAGAATTATAAGATTATGTGGTTCAAACTTGTTTTTTAAGATGTATTGGCAGTTAAAAAAAATTTGTACATTTGACAAGTTTTTTATATAAGGAAAAAAGAATCTGAGTTCTTTCTTATCACACTAAAGCCAAAACAAGAGAAAGATTTTTGTAATTAATTTGAATTGATGTCAAAATGTGTCTTTTTCTATTGTCACGTAGATATTATATCACATTTTTTATTTTTGTATGAACTGCTTAGTTTTTAAGAACTTTATTTTGGGCTTTTAGTTTTTGCATGACTTTGGGTCTTGAGTTTAATCTTAAATTCATATTATTTAAATTGATTTGGGCCTTGATTTTAATGATGTTTACATCATTATTATATTTGTTTTATTTTGTTTTATTTTTTTTCCGCATAATAATCCTGAAAATTTTTGTACAGACTTGCCTCAAGTGAGTTATAATTGGGCCAAAATCAATATAAGATTATGTCATGCCCCTGGACTAAAATCAGAAAAAATAGAAACGTAAGGACTAAAATGTCATTTTAGAAATAGTTAGACTATAAAAACTTGGAAAGGTTTGTAAATTGAATTATCGAAAGTTTTAGTATTGAATTGAAAAATTAATATCTCTCTTCTTCTCCGATTTTTCCCCAATCGAACCCTAATTTTTCTCCGGCCTTTCGTCTGTTTCTCCGATTTCTGCCTTCCGGCTACCCCCAGGCCCCCGGAGCGTGACATCTAGTATCAGAGCCGATCGATTCTTGGCCGTCTCTATATCGGATTAACCGATTCCGTTCATCCTCTTCTTTCCCTTCTGATTCTCAACCCTCTGAAATGTGAAGTTCATTTCTTCCTCCTCCATTATGAATTCTGTGCGATTTCTCCATTCTCCGATTCGCGCCAAATATCTCTTCATTTTCGTTTCATTTTTCATCGATTGAAATGTCCAATTCCAGCGAACACCGACTTAGGGTTAAAGGCTTTTTGTCACTCCCTCCATCCGAAGCTTTACCTTCAAATTCGTCTTCTCATGGTCTTCTAGAGCCTTCACCAACCGGAGTTTTTCTTTTTTTCCGGTGAAGATGTCAGTGATTGGTTGGAACGAATTGAGCACTTTTTCTTAAAACATTGTATCCCATCTCATAAAAAACTAGTCACTGCTTCTTTTTACATGGCCAGCGAGCCTCTACAATTTCTATACTGTATGGAATACGCATCACTATTAGATAATTAGGAGGATGTTTCGGACTAGCTGGAGCTCTGATTTGGGTATTACATTCGGCCAACCACTCGGATTAGGTTCTGGGAGGCACCGCCTGAGGATACTCCAGTCACAGATCCATCACTCGAGGAATGCATCGGGTGTCAATTAGCCCTAGAAGACCACAGTGATTTCTTGTCGGATTATGGTGAGACAATTCCTCAAGAGGAATTGGAGGAAAGAGGTTAATCTCCACTTGTTTTGGATGTTACTGATTTGATGGTTTTAGAGAAGGGTATTGAAGAATTAGTCGTGATGAACCGTATTGATAAATCTGATTCCAATTGTGATGATGAAAGGATTGTAGCTTATTTTGGGTTGCTGTTGAGTGATATTTCTATTGATGTGTTGAGTTCTGTTGTTGGCTCAGACGATGATTTTGTGGGTTTTAAGGAGACCATTGATGATTGTGTTGGATTTCTGGTTAATTTAAATCATGCTTGGGACTAAGGAATTGGCCATAATTCGTTTCAAGTTGAACCGAGGGGAATTGAATGCCCTGTTGAGGTTGCTAGTGTAGAAGAGTCTGTTGGAATGTTTTGTCCTTTTAAAGACAGTGTGAATCCCAAGTTCAATATTCCTGCATACTTAAATGAAGAAAATGATCGTGTGATTTTGGATTTAACTGATGGTGAAGTTGTGACTCTGGAATTGGGTGTTTGGAATGTTGATTCCTTGTATTCAAGTGATTCTGCCCTTGATGTCAATGACACTGTTCTAGAATCTGGGGTCGAGTGGAAAGGTGTCGATAGTAAGGGAAACCATCAGAGTCTATTTGCTATTGAACCATGCGGAATTAAAGTCGAAATGGAATCTATAATGTCCAAGGTGGTTTGTTCAGAACCAGAAAGTGGTTCTAAAGTTTTAGAAAAAGTTAAAAGGGAACCTGTTGGTATGATGCTTTTAGTCGATACTGCTTTGGTTAAATTTGATCTTGATCATGACGGTGAAATGATATTAGATGACTGTTTTATGCCTTTGAATGATGTTTCTGCTGATATGATGGGTTTGGTTGATAAAGATAATAAGATAATTGCCAGCCACTCTATTTTTTTTAATTAAAAGGTTAGGATGACTTTCAGGTTTCAACTAGCACAAAAATACTCAAGGGGTCTACCCAGGAGCTATTTTTGGACTAGTCAGTGCCAAATGATACAATGCACGCAAGGGGTATACCAAGGGATGGACATATGCACCATTCGGTTCCCTAGTTTCATCCTTTGCGCACGACAAGATTCAAAAACCAGAAAAAAAAAATTTTTTGCTTATTCATTTTCTGGCCAGAAGCTCCTTCATAATCCTCAAAAAAAGTAGTAAGTTCTTGTAATGATCTTTTCGCACCCTTGTAAAAATTATTAAATCGTCAGCGAAGCTTAAATGCGACACCCGTACTGAACCCGCCAGTGTACCATACCCAGCTATCTAATTCCCAGCATTAGCTAAAGCATTCAATCTCCTTGTCATTGCCTCAACCACCAAAATAAATAAATATGGAGAGAGGGGATCACCTTGCTTTATACCACGAGATGATTGAAACAAACCAGCTGGTGAACCCTAGTTTTCGCAAGTTATTCATTATCGGCAAGATGAATTGATCCGGAAACCCTAGTTTTCCAAGCACCTTTTCTAAAAAAAACTTTGACACTCTATCAAAAGCCTTCACCATATCCACCTTTATAACTACATTATTCCCAACAGCTTTATGGGTAATAAATTGACAAAGGTCTTGGGCCAAAACCACATTGTGAATTATATCCCACCCCTCAAGGATCCCCCAAAGCCATCCATTCCCGACGAGTTGTCCTCATCAAGTCTAAAAACCGCAACCCTCAACTCATCCATGGTTACCAAGCTAACAAGCATTTTTTTTCCATTACATCAAGATCACCCAAAACACATTGTGAATTATATCCCGCCCCTCAAGGATCCCCCAAAACCATCCATTCCCGGTGAGTTGTCCTCATCGAGTCCAAAAACCGCAACCCTCAACTCATCCATAGTTACCATGTTAACAAGCATTTCTTTTTCCATTACATCAAGATCGTCATGGAGATGCTGAAGAAATTTTCCTTGCTTCTCACCTTGACTTGACTGAACTTCTCCTTCCATCAATAAATTCTGAAAGAAAGACACAGCTTCATTCTCAATATCCTCCAGCTCCGTCAAACATCTACATCCTCCGTATGAATTTTTTGAATCCCCAACTTGACTCTCTTTTCTGCCAATGAAGCATGGAAAAAAAAAAGAATTTGCGTCCCCATCTTTTAGCCATTTCAACCGCATCTTTTATGAGGAACGAGAAGGTTTTGTTTGTGTGGCATGGAATATTTTGTTTAGCTCATTTGATATTGATCCGGGTGCTAACAACTCATATACTAATGTTAAAAATTGGTCTGTTGAGTTTAGAAACCTTTTGGCTACATATGCTTCGACAGCAAGGAAACATGAGCTTAGTTTTTCATTCTCATATTCCTGCGATGCTAGTGGAAGTTATGTTGTTGCTGTTGATTCAGATTACGACTTTGAGATTTTAGAAACTGATATATCCAGGAAGTGTATGGTTGACTATAAGTGGACTAAGCATGGCTGCATTCATGAAAACACCTGTGGATCTCATTTTTGGGTTATTGTGGTTGGTAAGGTGGGAAGTTGCGTGGTTTTCTGTATTCCAGCTGCATTGTTGTATAAGCTTCTGGGAGCTAAACTGAATGGAAATGGTTCATTCGTGTTGATTTTGTCAAAGAGAAGTACTGTGCATTTCCGGCGAAATCTGGTTGGAAAATTGCGTGGTTTTACTTTGAATTTGTGTTACATTTGCATGACCTGTTAGAGCCTTTAGTTTACAATTCAAACGAATTGCATGTTGTTGATGATTTTCAAGTTTTTGATGAACTGTGGGATGTTGAGAACAATGCCCGTGCTATGCTGAAAAAAGTGGCTGCAAAATCAGTTGATTTTGAGTCGTGTGTTTGGCTGCATACTGCTTATACTAGTTTAAAGGAGGTCAATTGTGATTATGTGGAATTATTGGTTGAATTAAATCATTTTTGGGGGGAGGACACGGCCCTAACTCATTTTATGTTGATCCAGGGGATTAGAATGTCCTAGTGATGCCAATGTTCAGCTTGAGAGTCCAAGTCTTGAAGAGTCCTTTGATCTCACTGAAGAAATGGGTACAGTAGAGGTAACCAATGATGAACATTATGGATGTGTTTATCTGAACCTTGACTATATTGTTACTTTTACTATTGCTGTTGAGTCTACTGGTAATGTTTTGTCAAAAAGTTGTCCTTATGATGCATATGATGTAGCTACTAGAAGTCATCTATTGGGCAGAAACTCTACTGATGTTAGATCTTATATGAATGGTGCTCAGTTAGGTGGTGTGCCCAGATTAAGCTGTTTTAAGGGTAATTTAAAAGGAGTCATAAGCTTGGTATATATTCAAAATTTTTGTGATCATGAATGTGTCAAAGTGAATGTGTATCAAAACTTCAAAAGGCATCAGTCATCTTATGATGTGAACCTCGGGTTACAGATTGGTTTTGTTTCCAACATTCTGTCTTGTGCCAACTGTTCCACTTGGGTTCACTCTGTATTTTTGCCATATGATCCTGGAGGAAGGAGTACATATGCAGTTCCATTTGGTTTAATTTTTGTTGAACTTGTGCATTGCGGTAGTAAAGATACTCTGTTTAAGAGTTTAGATGGTACTGTTTTGATCGAGTTGAACTGCAAGTATGTTGATGCTGGTTTATTTTTGTTTTTGAGTTCTTCCATTACTAAAAATGTTGGCTGCCTATTTGCAATTGATCCTGGGGGATTAGTACATCTTTCCAGTGCTGAAAACGTTTGTTCATATAGAGCGATTAAAAAAGGCTATGTTCTTGGTATTCATTATGGGGATTCTTTGCATTCAAAGGCTGATTTAGAGTTTCAGAATCGGGAAGGAATACAGTGGTATAAGGAAGGAATGTTTATTGCCTCGGGAGCTAATAGAAGTATCATCTTGGATGTGGAATTCGAATTGCTTCAATGGCAGTAAGCGGCATCAGCAACAACATTATCACTAAACCTTTGAAAATGGCTGCCCAAAGCTCACTACAAGATGAAAGTAGAACTGATTGGGGTCAGGGTACATCTGCTGTAAGGACATGGTATGCTGAAACGCCATTTGGAGGCACAAACAGAGAACACAGTCCCTGGACTCGAATTGTGACTTGTTTCAGGGGCGGGACAATTGTTTGTGAAGGAAATGCTGCATCAATGGAAGTGGATAATGACACCAATTTCATTTGGATGATTGCGTGGTACACCTTGGGAGCTGTTGCCGTGGGATTGGAAGCTGGTATCCCTCCATAGCATGAAACTTTGATAGCTGTTTGAGCAATTGTTGTTGTTGTCATGGTCACTTCACTTATGGGTTGTAAGACTTGGTGCAGTTCCAGCTTTGTTGGAGTGGTGGTTAATTACTGTTTTGATGTTATAGCCTTTTTTCTATTCTTTCTTTGTAATCAGCTGTAGTGTTCCTTAATGCTGATTGTTATTACTGTTTTGATGTAGCTTTTAGTTCTTTCTGACAGTCTTGAGGACAAGATTGTTTTAAGAGGGGTGGTATGTCATGCCCCTGGAATAAAATCAGAGAGAATAGAAATGTAGGGACTAAAATATCATTTTAGAAATAGATAGACTATAAGAACTTGGAAAGGTTTGTAAATTGAATTATCGAAAGTTTTAGTATTGAATTGAATTCATATCTCTCTTCTTATCTAATTTTTCCCCATTCGAACCCTAATTTTTTTCGGCCTTCCGTATGATTCTTCGATTTCTGCCTTCTGGCCACCCCAGGCCCCCGAGCGTGACAGATTATGGCCTTTCATCGTATGAACAGAAGCCCAACAAAGCCCATTGGCTTGACACTCCCACTGTTAACTTCTGTTAATTTATCTTTTAGTATCTACATTTGGAAGAGTCTATCTTCTTTTGAGATAATCTACTCGTAAATGCATGTGAATATGTGATCATCCACTCGAAAGAAAAATAGAAATAAAATGTTTCATTAGTTTCCTGTGTCCTAAATTTTATTTCTATCTTCGAAGCATGAACGGAAGTGGTTAAGGTTCTAGAGCACCATGCCATTTTGCGGGAAATTGGTCTTCATTAACTCCCCTTCACCCCTTCACTACAATAGAAATTAATCTTATTTGATTCTTTTTAATATTGTTTTATACTTAATAAATCCTATATTTGATTAAAAAGATGACATTGTTCATCAAATTATAATGCCCGAGAAGCTAACTATATTTTACCTGCAGGAACAAAAGGGAAAAAGAAGTGAACCTTGGCATCAATATGCATGTATTTTCATGTGAATGAATCAAAGACAAACGGCATAAGAACTCACACAAATCATAAGGTGCAATTGCGTTCTCTGTTCTATTTTCCAATTTTCGTTGCACACTTGAATAACTGAATTAATTCACATTGCACACTTGAATAATTGAATTAATTCACATAGATTCTTTAATTTGTATTGATTTAAATAGACCAGTAAACCCTTAGTAATTCACCTCAATCTGTCCAAAAACTAATTTGCTTTTTAATTTTCTAGAACAATATATGTTACACTTCTGGAAAATTATAGATACACGCCAACTATAAATGGTTTAACTATTAGCATTTGATTGTGCTAATCTATTAAGATTTGCAAGTTGGAGTTATCATTTTAACACAAAAGATGCACATTTATCTAACAAATACATCATCCATTGGATATTATCATTGGGAGTCCCAAAATAAACGCAAAACATCCTCTAAAGTTTAAACTTTATCGCATTCTAGATGGAAATTGCAAGGATTACGTGAGGTCGTAATGATTATTTACAGTTATATAGTGATAAAGCCACTGTATTCCCGCGTTAAAAAGAGGAGGAAAACATACGTAAAAAAACTAAAAAGTTTGCCAAAAGAATTCATTTTCATGTGTCTAACAAACATTATTATTGCGCTTAAACGATTAACTGGTTTGCCCCATACATTTGCCCCATATATTATGCCTTGAATTCATGGTTGTTTCATTACACTTGTCGGATTTACCGTTGTATTTGGATTGGATTTCAATTTCTTAATCGAGAGCTCCACCTTATCATATCTACTGTAAAACTTCATCTCGTAAAATACGTTTGGCTCAGCGCAATAATCGAATGGGTTGAATTTCTCTATAAATTCTATACATTGAGCATTCTACTAAAAACTTAAGCGAAGCAGCTCTTTATTTCTTTTTTCTTTTCCTTTTGGGTTTCCCTTTTATCTTTATCTGTATATATTCAGATATATTTTCCGATTAGGGCCAAATTAAATGGCTTCATATCATAACAAAAATACCCCAACTTCTTCATCATTTTTGTGTATATTTTTATCATCTTTGTTCATATTAGGTTCTAATTTTTATCAATGTTGTTCTGCCGACGGGATGCCGTCCTCGACGGCTACACTTCATGTGAATGCTTCCCCATCGTCGGGAAGAAAAATGCCGGACAATCTGTTTGGCGTATTTTGGGAGGTCAGTGGTATTGCATTCAGTTAAATGTAATTTTATTTTATTTCAATAGAAAAAAGATATATATATATATATATATATACAGTAACATTCACCTCCTGGTTTGGTTGAGTAAAATCATTTAAGTAGTCCTGCATTCCGCATCATAAATATTCTCTTCTGTCCTAAAATAAGAGTATTATTGTTCAACAAAAACGATTCATATTTTATGATGGATGGACTCAATATTTTGATCACTTATTTATGATATGTTCTCATCAAATTTCTTCGTAAAATTGAGTTTTTTTTTTTCTCTTCCATAGAGTTGCAGGAAGTTATACTTGGAATATATGTTTTTTTTATGATCTACTCGTTAAGAGCCTAAAAGGGGAGCGAGAAGATTGAATTGAACTTTTTTTTTTTTGGGTAACGACCTATATGTATTGAGCAAACTGTATTCTTATGTCCAAAAAATTACTCTCTTTTTGTTGAACACGTTTAAGAAAACAGGCTACTTTTCATGTGACTACAAAACGGACAGTTGTATGTTTAATCCAATGTTGCTAATTCGATTGAAAACCGTCGGTTTCATTGTTAATGCCAAGAAAATGATTATGTGCAGGAGATCAATCATGCCGGCCATGGAGGGGTTTGGGCTGAGCTGGTTAGCAACCGAGGTGTTCATTTATTATTATTTTTGAAATTTTTTTTTTTAATAACCTTTACAAGAATTTCTGTAATATCGTGAATTAAATGGTTCAATCAATAGTTCAAGGTTAACTATCACAATGCTACTGATATTTCGATTTCTTGAATATGTGATTTATTGAAAATGTATTGAAATATCAATCTCATGTTCATATTGATTTTTTTCCTCAGGGTTTGAAGCGAGGGATGGAAACAACAAATTGATTCTGGATCCTTGGACTACAGTTGGAGATGCTTCCTCTGTACGGATTTCAACAGACAATTCTTCGTTATTTCAAAAGAACAAAGTTGCATTAAAAATGGAGGTTCTTTGCGATAAGTGCCCTCAAGGAGGTGTTGGGATTTCTAACCCTGGATTTTGGGGAATGGTAAGATATTACTCTTACTGATTGTTAAGGATCGTCACGTCACAAAATGATTATTTTATTAACGAAATGAAATATTTTATAACTCTACATGTTGTTAAGAAGAGCATCAATAACAAGAGGCAAATGCCCTCTTAATTTCATTAAATTTACTGAAAACTCAAATTTGAAACTGTTGTCGGCTTGTTGTAGTGTAACAAATATGATAATTATTTCAGGGCATATATTATAAATATAAATGTAAATCTTTGTGACCAAAAAAATAAATCAAATAAAAATCTATTAACTGGATTCCACTTGTCGGACATGGGAATATACGGGAAATTAACAACTGCTCGAACCGTGTTAGTTTCGTTGTTTCAAGAAAAAAATAATACTATTCCTCATTTGAAACAAACAAAAGAAACTCAAATCTGAAGTTATTTCTGATTTACTTTTTCTTTGCAGAATATTGTGGAGAAAAAGAGTTACAATGTGGTTTTCTATGTACGTTCTCAAGATCCAATCGATTTATTCGTGACACTCAAGGGTTCAAATGGAAAGAATCTTGCTCAGCAACATCTGGCGTAAGCATCGATCTGCAACATTATATTAAGACCCCGATCGATCCAAATAAATATTTTATTTATCGAAAACAAGATTCTTATTTCGGAACAAAGAGTGGCATGTCTGTTGGTTTTACTTTAATCTTATTTCTTTGGCAGTGATGACAAGGTTTCAAACTGGAAAAAGATAGAAATGGAGTTAAAAGCAACAGCGAGTGATACGAAGTCCAGCTTGCAGTTGACTACTTCAAAGAAAGGTGTCATTTGGTTTGATCAAGTCTCGGTGATGCCTCAAGACACATACAAGGTAATGATGATTTTCATTTAGGCAGAGGTTAATTTTATAAGATAAATTTGATAAGATTAAGGGAGAAAAATGGATTATTACCGATAGAGACAAAAAAACATATCTAGTAAGATTGTTTGGCGACGTATATGATCCCTGAAATGTCATAATTACACACTCAATAAAATTCTACTGTCTTTTAAAGAATGCTGCTTATTTGAATCGAAAAAAAAAAGAATACTGCTTATTAATATATAATTTCTTGTTCATTTAATCGTTTCACTGCATGAAATCAGTTTTAATATTCCACAAGAACAAACATAGTCTGAACTTTGAAGGAAGTGTGTGACACTTTTAAAATTATCCATTTTTTATGACATGGATCGAGCTCGTAGAAACTGAATTGTTTTTTTCTTTTTGTCTCTATATTTACTATTTTCATAGGAAGTTGATCCTATAAATATTCTTCTTATTTTTATTTTTTTTTTAATTTCATAAGTTTTATTTTCCCTGGAATGTTCTTAATTCGAAATCTAAAGTTAATCTTAGGTTTTATTTTTTAAAAACATTATACTCCCTCCGTCCCATAATTATTGTCCACTTTACCCAAAAAATTTTGTCCCAAAATTATTGTCCAATTTGACTTTTTATGGATCAAGTTACACGTTTGTTCTTAGTAAAAAACATTATCCATAAAATCTTAGTGGTTAAACTATTACTTATGTAAGGGTATATCCGGTTATTTAAGGTAAAATATAGTTAAGTTTGACCAAAAATAAAATCTTTCATTTTAGTAAAACTGGATAATAATTATGGGACGGAGGGAGTAATTTTTAATATTTTTGTAATGTTTTTAATTGGAATTGTATACTTCTTGAGTACAGGGACATGGTTTCCGGCAAGATCTGTTTAAAATGGCTCAAGGTCTGAAGCCTAAATTTTTTAGATTTCCGGGTATGTACTTTATCAACTCTGTATCTCTGCATAGATTTTTTCCATTATGTAAATAACCGCATCAATTTATTGAAATAACATTAGTTGTCATTATAAAAATGCATTTCTGTTAAAATTACAACTCTCAAGAAATTTCTTTCATGAATTATTATTTTTCGACATGCTTATGATATTACTATGTTGCATTAGGTGGATGTTTTGTTGAAGGAAAAAATTTGCCATATGCTCTTGCCTGGAAAGACACCGTTGGGCCTTGGGAAGAGAGGCCTGGACACTATAATGACATTTGGAACTACTGGACTGATGATGCTTTGGGCCATTTTGAAGGTCTCCAAGTAAGTTTTCTTTTTTTTTTGTTTTTTTGTTGGGGTGTAAATTTATTTTTCCCTTGACGACTTTTCTTGCAGTTGATTTTTAAAATGTTTCAGGAATTCTTTTCCCCTTTCTTTTTTGCTTTCTAGTAATTTCTTTCTTCGTTATGAAAGAGAATAGTCTTTTTGTTGGCTTCTTATTTTAAGGGTTTTCTATCCTTTTTTCTGGTTGGCAGCTTGCAGAGGACCTTGGTGCATTGCCAGTATGGGTCTTTAGTATAGGTACGTTTTCACTTTTCCGCGCTATTGTGTGTTTATTTTTATTATAAGAAATAAGCATATAAATGTGTGTATTAGAAGTGCTAAAATTATGTTTTAGAGATTATGAAAAAACATTTTTCATTTATTAAATTCGTTTAATATTTGTTACAAAGTTGTAGTACTTAGAAGTGCCATGTACATAAATGTATATACATGTGGGATTGTACTCCCTGTCTCATTATATTATCGTAAACAAGTGAATTTTTGAAAGAGGATGGGAGAACAAAAATTTTTGACGTAAACACTTCAGTTGATTTATTTTATTCTAATGTGTATTTTTTGCAATTATATATTAATATAATTGTCTCTTATCTTTGGAAAAAATTTCATTTTATTATTATTATATTTTTTTGGTAACATCAATAATTTCATTAGAAATGGAAAATATAAGTCCACTGCTGTAAACTATTTAGTTGATGACTTATAGTTGCAGAGTAGTTAAAAGCCCTATTAAGGCCAAACTAAAGCTTAGTCGTCCCTCTTTATTTGTTATTTTGCTTTTCTCTAATGTTCATGCAACTTCTGTAAATGTACAATTGCAATTTAACAGGAATCAGTGTTGAAGGAGATGAAGTCGATCCAGACCACGTTGGGCCTCTAATCCAAGTAGGTTTTAAATTCCAGAGTTTCGAAGTTGGAATTGAGGATTAAAAAAATAAAACAAAATAAAAACCAATCTTCTCAATTGAGATTGAACTAACTTTTTGGCTTACTTTAATGAGCAAAGAGAATGGAAAATTCTGTTTACTTAATTATATATAACTTGGTAGATATAAAACTATATCAAACATGATTTTTGTTATGGTAGGAGGGAAAAATATGTCTAAATTTTGAGAGTGTGCATACTAACAATCAAACGTGAAAATTTTGAGCGTGTGACTAAAACTATATCAAACATTATTTTTACTATGGTAGGAGGGAAAAATATGTCTAAATTTTGAGAGTGTGTATCATAACAATCAAACGTGAAAATGTGAAATTTCCTATCCAAACTGGAAGGAACACATAATTTTTCGAAATACAACAATGAAATATCCAATATATACATAATGATTGAAATAAAAGTTTATATATTAATATGATGGTGTAATTACCTTGATGTAGGATGCTTTGGATGGAATCGAGTTTGCCGTAGGGGACCCTAAATCCAAATGGGGTTCAGTCAGAGCTGCAATGGGTCATCCTAAACCCTTTGATTTACGACATGTTGCTCCCGGAAACGAGGATTGTGGGAAGCCAAACTACAACGGTGTGTACATTTCTATTTAATTTTCCCCCTGATGTCAGTTTCCTTTTTGGCATAACATAGGAAATGTATTCGTAATTTTCAAACAAAGAAAAAAGGGACAGAAAATTATTACGAGAACGAAAATGATAATCTTGATAAAATAGTACAGTAAATATCCAATGACATGGCACATATAAAAAAAAAAAAAGAAAAGAAAAGAAGATACTGTATGATTTATCAAACGATGAATATTCTCGTCTATTTTATAAACCCTTGTAATTTTTCCATCTTAAATTATGATTGAACTACTCAGGCACATATTATTTTTTTTTTTCCCATTGAACATTTTTCATCCCAGGTGAGAAAGGGTTAGTTTTTCTTTTAATAATATGTTTATTTTCCCTTTTTTTGGTAGTACAGGAAATTACCAGAAAAGCTATGATGCAATACGCAAAGCCTATCCAAACATCAAAATTATCTCAAATTGTGATGGATCTGTTCAACCGCTCGCACAACCGGCTGATCTTTATGATTATCACGTTAGCCATGCACTTTCATAATAATGTCCTTTTTAATTCTTTCACTGTTGATTAAGTACTCTTTTCATCCCAAAATAATTATCGACGAACAGTTACTTTGGACAGACTACATCTTTTTTGTTTATTATCCCATTTGTGACAACCATGTTAAAAGTTTCTTCGTCTATATCCCCAGACTTATCCAAATGCAACCGACATGTATGATCAACAACACCACTTCGACAAAAGCCCCCGAAATGGTGCAAAGGTCGGCACATTAACCTATTTAATTGATCGATTTATTCATGATTATTGTAGTTATTATTTTTATCCAATTTTGTCTTTAGTGGCAATCAAAATGATATTGAAATGTAGGCATTTGTGAGCGAGTATGCTGTGTACGGCAAAGATGCTGGAATGGGTTCCCTTTTGGGTGCATTGGCCGAGTCCGCATTTCTCATGGGCTTGGAAAGAAATAGGTTGGTACTTCTACTTCTTCTCTCTATTTATTTATTTTTATTTTTATTTTTATTTTTCGATTGTAAAATTTTCAATTATGGATATGAAATTCGATTTTCTCGGAATTAGAAATTGGGATAAAATGCATAAAAATAAATTCGTATTCTAACAAGAAGTGAATATCTACAGTCTTTCTCAAAGATTAACTTTATTAGAGCACTCTTATGATCCATGCATTTGACAGGCACATGTGCAGAGAAAGATTGATTAGATTCCGAAATCCAACCATTTCTGTTTTTCTTTTTTTTTTTTATCATTATCCATTACTTATATTATTATATGGTTTTAAATTCTAATGACTTGTATATCTCTGAACAGTGATGTTGTTGAACTCGCAAGCTATGCGCCTTTGTTCACTAATATCAACGACAAGACGTAAGATTTTCGATTTCCCATCCCCACATGCTGATATATATATATTTTTTTTGGATTTACTCTTTTCGTTTCTTTTTCAGTAGTTCTGTTTGTAAGTATATTGTAATTTATTAGAGTGCGTTATTGAAAGGCCAGAAGAAGTAGTATCTGCTTTTTTATTTTTCGGTTCCCTTCCTTTCCAATTTCATGGATGTTTAATTGCGAGGGCTAAAGAAAATAATGCACAATGGTTTTTTTTTGTTTTTGCAGGTGGATTCCTGATTCAATATATTTTGACTCTTGGAGAGTTTATGCTACTCCTAGTTACTATATGCAACAATTCTTCATTCAGTCAAATGGAGCAACTTACCTTAACTCGGCCCTAAACACTTCAGATTCAGTTACCGCGAGTGCTATTTTGTGGCAAGATAAGAAGAACAAAAAGCACTTGAGAATCAAGGTACGTCTGAATGGATTGGATTTTTACATATCTATCGGAACCATATTTATCAGTAACAAAACCCTCTTATTTGAGATAAAATAAAAGGGATACTATAGGGGCTACAACATTATATTTTGAATTCTCCATATCGAATAATACTTTGCTCTCTCTGTCTAAAAAAAGTCCAAATCGAGTTTTTAAATTTGTATCAAAATTGATACAAATCCCAAAATTCGATGTGAATATTTTTCTGGAACGAAGGGAGTAACAAAATGTTGCATTGGTTCCACCTAAAAATTAAACGGATTGCTACAAACGTTGCTTAATACAATGACCAGGACGTACAAATTGCCTTAATGTGGATACGCTTAGGTTTTCAGTTTAATTTGGACTCTTTTTTTCCGAGCAGGTAAACTTCATAAGAATCAAAACAAGATATCCGCCATACATACATTAAATCCTACACAAACTAATTTTGTACCATTTTCTAGCTAGCGCCTAGTTTGAAACAATTCAACATGTTGTTTGCGCACATCTATCTCTGAACGATTTAAAAAATTTTCCTTCAGGTCGTGAATTTTGGGAAGAGCACAGTAAATCTCAATATTTCAATCGAGGGATTAGGATCGAACTCCCTAAATCCCAGCAAAGCCAGAAAGATAGTGATGACCTCTACCAATCCTATGGACGAGAATTCGTTTGAGCAACCCACAAAGGTTAGTAATTAATTCATGGAATTTCAATTAGTTTTCGACTCATGCAAAAAATATAATTTCTAATTACAGTATGTCTAAACTTACTTGTTTAAAGCATCAATTTTTTATTTTATTATTTATTAATTAGCTTGAGATTCCAGTAGAGAGACTCTCATTGTGAAGCTTGATCGTTTTCTTTTACTCCCTCCGTCCCATAATTATTGTCCAGTTTTACTAAAATGAAAGATTTTATTTTTGGTCAAACTTAACTATATTTTACCTTAAACAACCGGATATACCCCTACATAAGTAATTGTTTAACCACTAAGATTTTATGGATAATATTTTTTACTAAGGACAAATGTGTAACTTGATCCATAAAAAGTCAAATTGGACAATAATTTTGGGACAAAATTTTTTTGGCAAAGTGGACAATAATTATGGAACGGAGGGAGTATATTCTAATGTTCTCAGAAAAATAGTTTACCTCGTTATACTGATATAATTCAACAAATTAACTGTAATTATTTTTCTGACACAGAGTAATACTTAAAAATAGACATGATTAAATTTGATAAATTTCTTTGTTTTATTGTGGTGTGAATGCAGATTGCACCAGTAACAAGTAAGTTAGAGAAGGCTGGGAATGATATGAATTTTGTCCTCTCACCCTACTCTCTCAACTCCTTTGATATGTCCCTCTAAAGTTATGAAATCAGAGGAGAGGAGGACGCGCAATCAATCTATGGCCTATATGTATTCTGTTTTATTATGTACTCAGTTGCAAGTCAACATATCCTTTTACTTCCTTTCTTTCGTTTTTTCTTTCAATGTTTTATATGTAACTAGTTGAAAATCAACATATAATGAAGTTTACCAATTAATATTCTGCAGTGAAGAGTTTTTTTTTTAAAAAAATAAAAATAAAACTTTGTATTCTTTTGGAATTGCTCCAACAATGATAGAATATAGATAAAGAATACAACCACTAAAAAAAATTATCATCCATATGAATGATATTTAATTCTAAATTGTTGTCTTCACTATAACCCAACTGATACCTATTCGGTTGAATTTTTCAATTATCGGATATGTCACGCACCAGATTATGACTTTGAACATATTACTTATTTTCGGATGAAAACTCAATTTCATAAATCTAATAATTATTCCAATGTCCCCAAAAAAATTAGTTCATCTATTATATTAAACAATTTATTTCTTTGATACAAATTAAAATTTTAAGTGACTTAACAATCTCCACTATTTAATGCATATTTGTTTATTTAATTTCATGTTACTTAACAGTCTCTACTACCTTTTTTTTTTATTTTATTTTGTAGTAAACTTGTTCATTTAATTTTTTAAAAATTCCACAATCTCTACTATCTTAGATTGATGTGACTTAATATAACAGAGAATCCAATAAAAAGGTCCAGACCTTTGTGAGGCTGGTATTCGGATCCAACCACAATGAGTGAGTGTGGGGAACTTTTAGCCCAGTTATCTCCTTCATCAAACTATTTGCAATTCTGCAAACGAATTATTCATTCTTGCCGATGTATATCCAATGCCGATTGTATTTCAGTGTTTGAGGGGTGGGAGATGCAAGTCTTTTACATGTAAAAAAAACTTCAATATTAAGATTTATAAACGGGTCATCTTTGGACTGCTAATTTGTTAAGTTTATTCTGCACCTGGTCATATCTAAGCATGATTCCCGCATCCTTGTCACTCTTTAATTCCTTTCTCCATCGTCTCGTTCTTTATATAATTCTCCCTCCGTCCCATAATTATTGTCCAGTTTGAGTTTTTATTTTTAGTTTAAATTGTACTAAAAATGAAATCTTGAACTGGACAATAATTTTGGGACAGAGGAAGTAATAATTTCTGGTTTCAGATTAAAAGTCAATTGCATTTGACGAGTCCATATCCATCACCGAGACTGGACCGGCCCGCCAAGGGTAGGAAGAGTCCAACCGGGACTCTTAGGGCGGTGTAAACTCCTAAAACCTAGTCGGATTCGGAAATATTCCAGGTGATCTCATACCTATAAATAGGGTAGCTCATACCACAATACAGGTACGCAATCTATAGCCGAACAAACTATCTTCCTAAACTTTCCAGCAACCCCTTTTACCGACTTACGCATTGGAGTGTCTACCCTCGAGAGACCCCGAGGCCCTGTTTTGCAGGAAACCCTAACCGGAGTTCCACAACTAAACTGGCGGCGCATATCCAAGCATCGTCAAGTGGCACGCCCTGTGGGACCCGTAAATTAGGGTTTGTGTCACAGAAACCTTCTTAGGTTTCCTTAACATCTTTTCATAACAACTAGGGTTGCCGGAACAATCGATACGATGGTCAGAGTTGAAGAAGACGCCGGTAACACGGCATCCTTCGGCCACCCACATAGTCTAGGAGACGATACTCCCGGCAAGAAAAAAGAAAGACAGGAAAAAGCCGCGGCGGAGAACCGGGGAAAGAACCGACAAAGGAGCGTTTAGTTCTTGGCGCTCCTCAGCCCGATCCGAAAAAACAGAACAACACCAATCTTCCACCTGAAAAAGAAGATGTTCCTCCTCCTCGAAATACCCCCGCTGCCGCCAAGCGTTTGGAAGACCAGAAACTAGCCAAAATCGAGGCTGAACTCAAGAAGCTAGGTGATGATAGTGATCAACAACAGAGGATGCGGAGATATGTTCTTGAAGAAACCAGGCGGCGTTGCCTCCTTGGACAACCCGACCCAACAGAACAAGAGTTGGAGGATTTGATTGACGAAAAAGAAGCTCGCAGAACCCTAGCCCTTCTCGAGAAGAAACGGGGCAAGCGGAAAGTCCAAGAGCAGGAAAATTACCAAGAAACCGAGGGATACGAAAGCCCCCATGAAGAACGCTGGCATGCTACCAGAGATACCATATTCTGGAACGCTTTCAGAGAAAGATACCCAACCTTCGACACCGCTCTCGAGGAATTTGACGCAATATACCAATGTAGGGGTACTGGGGAGAATCTCGACCCCCCGAGTGTCGAGATCATCGAAGGGGAATAGGGGAGGCCTCCAAGGCGAACTAATACACACAATCGCCTAGAATGCAATTGGAATCGAAGAAGTCCTCGAAGGGGTGAGTACAGACATGACTACGAACCACATCGAGGCCACAACAACATTGAGGGTAACTATGACCAAGAATACCATCACCGTCCTTGATATTCACCTCCAAAACAGCAGCAACATAATCGGCATAGAGAAAATCTTCCATAATTCCAGGGAGATCAGCAAGGAACAAGAGACCAGAATACCTTGAGCCGAGAGGAAATGAGAAAGATCATTGGGATAGGGCTAGACCGGAGCCCCTTCATCCCCAGCATTCGAGATGAACCTAAGCCCCGAGACTTCGACTTCCCTAAAGAATTCAAGCCATATTTAGGAGACACCGATGTCTCCCAATGGCTGCAAGGGTATGTCCATGTCATGAGAATCCGAAACGCAACCATGAACTTCATGGCAAAGGCGTTACCCTCATACTTATCCGGGTCAGCACAGCGATGGTTTGGACAATTACCGGAAGGAAGCGTCACTAGTTTTGAAGATTTGTCCATCAAATTAGCTACTTGATTCTTCCAGAGCAAACGGATATCAAGGATGTCCATCGACCTTTCCTCAGTCAGACAAGGACAGCATGAGAGTCTAACCGACTTTCACAGACGGTTCATACAAGAAACCTCGCAAGTCGACAACATCGATGATCAAGACGTCCGCAATGGATTCATCCAAGGCCTTAACCCCTTCGGGAAATCCTCAATGTTGCGAGTTAAACTCTCGACCAAACCCCCTAGGAACGCTCAAGAGATGTGGGCCATCGTCGAGAATCATATACAACGAGAACACACACTCAAGAGGTCCCAAGAATCCTTCGCCTCAGTAGGACCAAAGGATAAGCCGAGAATTTCCCAGGAAAACCAACCGGCACTGCCCAAGATGGATAGGCAATTAACACCCTTAACCAAGTTCCGACAAGAAATCCTCCAGATCCATAGGGACGAATTGCCAGCTCCGAAACCCTTAGCACCTAATCCAAACAGGTCAACTGATCAATATTGTGAGTATAACAAAGACCACGGCCACGACACAGAGGATTGTCGAGAGCTTAAGCGTGAAATCGAGAATGGGGTCAAATCTGGGAAGTTTCAGCGATACGTGCAAGGAACAAGCCTCCCGACAGAAGAATAACAGACCCCAGTCACGAGACCACCCTAAAAGAAACTTCAGAGGCCCATCACGGTGGGATGGTCGAGGAAATAATTGGCAACCGAGAACTAATACCGAGGCGGCACCAGAGCCACTCCAACAACTCCCCCTGACAGATCCAACGAAGCTAATTACTCACCAGGTAGGAGCTATCTACGGAGCTCCCCTTGAAGTCTTATCCAGTACAGCCATGAAGAACTCATTGCAAATCGTCACCAAAACTCCTCAACAAGAACCTAGCCACAAAATGTTCAAAGGGACGGAGGCCATTGTATTCACAGATAGCGATGTGGTCGCAGACATTTGCCCCCACAGTGACGCTATGGTCATAGAAGCAATAATCGCAAACGTAAAGGTTGGAAGGGTTTACGTGGATAACGGCAGCGAGGTCGACATCATATATAGTGACTGCTTCAAGAAAATAAATATCAAAAACCCTTGTATCCGCCCAGCTACAATGCCACTGATGGGATTCTCAGGTCACACCATTATCCCCACAGGAATAATTAGCCTACCCATTTCGGTAGGGTCGCATCCTAGGACGGTCACCCTAACCATGGATTTCGCCCTAATAGATGCACCCTCGCCGTTCAACATGATTCTAGGGCGACCTTGGATGTGCCAGGCATGCGCGATATGGTCTCCCTATCACTTGGTAATGAAATTCCCAATGGAATACGGAGTGGGAGTAGTGAAAGGATGCCAGTGGAGCTCTCGAGAGTGCTTGCTCACTGCAGTTAGAATCGGAAAGAAGACCGCACACCTTAACCCTGACTCCACCGTGTCAGAATGCTACTCAATTCAACAAACGGTCAACCCACTAGAAGTGGAAAGTCCCGAGATCTCCAGCCTTCCCTCGTTCAGTAGCAAGACGCGGGAATTAATCCTGAGTGAAACTGATCCCACCAAGACCGTTCAGATTGCGGATTCTCTCCAAGACCCCTTACTGGCCGAGATCAGCGCCTTACTGCGTGAGTTCCATGACATATTCGCCTGGTCACCAGCGGATATGATAGGAGTACCTCGAGAAGTCATGGAACATAAGCTAAATGTTGATCCAAACGTCAAACCAGTGCAACAGAAGAAAAGAGTATTTGCTCGAGAACGTAACGATGTCATCAACGAGGAAACAATGAAGCTAGTCCGTGCCAACATACTCCGAGAAGTCCTATGGCCTACTTGGTTAGCCAACCCGGTCTTGGTACGAAAACCCGACAACTCTTGGCGCATGTGCCAAGATTACACTGGCCTCAACAAACATTGCCCTAAGGACTGCTATCCTCTACCAGTCATAGACCAAATGGTAGAAGACATTACCGGATACAGAGTCCTCAGCTTCCTCGACGCATACAAGGGATATCATCAAATCCTCATGGCACATGAAGATGCAGAAAAGATAGCTTACATCATAGAGATAGGGGTATACTGCTACGACAAGATGCCCTTTGGACTGAAGAATGCTGGAGATACATACCAGCGTCTCGTAAACAGAACCTTTCACAACCAAATCGGCCGGAACATCGATATTTACATAGACGACATGGTGATAAAGACCAATAAGGATAACCAAGTGGCTGCAGATATGCAGGAGATTTTCACAATATTACGCAAGATTAACATGAAGCTGAATCCTAAAAAATGTACCTTTTGCGTAGGGTCAGGAAAATTCCTAGGATACCAAGTCTCCAAGGATGGAATAAGTGTTGACCCGGCTAAAATCGAGGCTATCTTAGCCATGGAAGCTCCAAAAACTGTCAAGGAAGTTCAAAAACTCACAAGATCCTTGGCGGCCTTAAATAGGTTCCTGTCTCGAGCTGCAGAGAGAAGCCTCCCATTTTTCCATACCCTCCGCAAAGGTAGAAAATTCGAGTGGAATAAAGAATGCCAGAAAGCGTTCCAAGACCTGAAAGAACACCTCAAGCAGTTGCCCACACTAGCCAAGCCTGAGCCATGAGAAACACTATACATTTACCTGGCAGCTCGAGAGAAAGCTGTCTCGGCGGTGCTGGTGCAACGCAAAGACGGCAGAGAAGTCCCCGTCTATTTTGTTAGCAAAGTCCTACAACGAGCGGAAACCCGTTACACACCCATGGAAAGGCTTGTCCTCAGCCTAGTCTTAGCCGCACGACGTCTGCGCCCATACTTTCAGGCGCACCCCATCATGGTCTTAACAGAACAACCAATTCAGCAAGTCCTACTAAAACCAGAAGTATCCGGCAGGATGATGAAATGGGCAGTCGAATTGGTTGAGCACCACATCGAATACAAGCCTCGATCAGCCATCAAAGGACAAGCCTTTGCAGATTTCTTAGTAGAAACACCTCGAGCTATCGAAGCCAAAGAAACGGCAGAGCCTAAAGATGATCCCACTACTCGCGTCAACATCAACCCTCGAGCCTGGTCACTATACGTCGATGGATCTCGTTGCGATGAGGGGGAGCTAGCATCATATTATCCAAACCTTCGGCTGATCCCCACATCGAGAGCATGAAGGAGTATGACGCAGAATATATATACGCCCTGAGGTTCGGTTTCTCGGTCACCAACAATGTTGCAGAGTACGAGGCACTGATAGTAGGACTGAACATGGCACTAAAAATTGGGGTCTGCAAAATCTAAGTTTTCAGTAATTCTCAAGTAGTAGTGAAACAAATATTGGGAGAATACACGGCAAACGACGAGCAACTCAAGCGCTACCTCGAGAAGGTCCTCGACATCAAGGACAAGTTCGAGGAATGCACCGTGTGCCACATAGTCCGCTCAAAAAATAAAAGAGCCGACGCCCTCAGCAAGCTAGCCTCCTCAAACTTTGCACACCTTAGCCACAAAGTGTGGGTCGAGATTCTCCTCAATCCTAGCATCCAGGATGCCGCCGTAGCAACCATCGTCGAGGACGGCGACACTTGGATGACCCTGTTTATCCAATACCTTACAGATGGGATGTTGCCAAGCAAAAAAGCAGAAGCCAGAACCATCCGACTAAAGGCGGTCAAATACACATTGCGAGACGGCATCCTATACAAGAACGGATACCTGATACCCATGCTAAGGTGTATCGGTCCAAAGCAAGCAGCCTACGTACTCGAAGAAGTACACGAAGGATCATGTGGAGCTCATACGGGAGCAAGAGCACTCCCCAAGAAAGTTTTGTGAGCAGGATATTTCTGGCCGACAATTTTCAAAGATGCCTACCAATGGGTACAGAAATGTGAGAAGTGTCAATGCTTCTCTCCCATCACCCGACAGCCACAACACGCGATGGTCACCATCCAAATCCCTTGGCCATTCTACCAATGGGGCACCGATATCATCGGCCCCTTTCATCCGGAAGGAGTAGGAGGAGTAAGATGGGTCATTATAGCAGTAGATTACTTCACTAAATGGGTAGAAGCCAAACTCTTGGCCTTGATCATAGGGAGGAAAGTCTTGGATTCTTTCTCGCAAAACATAGTATGCCATTTTGGGTTCCCGAGGGTTATCGTCTCCGACAACGGGACCTAGTTCGAGAGCAATATTTTCAAGTCATGGTGTGATGAGATGCAGATCGAACGCCGCTTCTCAAGCGTAGCTCATCCCCAAGCCAATGGGCAGGCCGAATCCATCAACAGAACAATACTGCATGGAATGAAGACCAGGCTGTATGACGCCAAGGGGGCATGGCCGACGAACTTCCTCACGTCCTGTGGTCATATCGAACAACTGCCCACTCCTCGACCGACGAGACACCGTATAGCTTAGTCTACGGTATGGACGCCGTCCTCCCAGTTGAGATCGGTCTGTCGAGCCCTCGAACAATAAACTTCGTCGAAAGTACCAATGATGATGACATCCAGCTAAACCTTGACCTGCTCAAGGAACATTGAGACGCCGTCAGAATCTGAGAAGCCAAGTATAAAGAGATTCTTCGCAGACATTACAACAAGAAGGTAAAAGCCGCGGATCTCGCTGTGGGTGATCTCGTACTGAGGAAAAACGAGGCAAGTCGAGCAGAAGTCTTGGAAAACTCACTGCAAATTGGGAAGGGCCTTACAAGGTTATCCAGACTTCCTCAACAGGCTGCTACCGCCTACAGGCCATGGATGATAGCCGTGTACTCTACATCCGGCCTAAAAAGCGCTTTATAAATCAATACTCGAGTAAAATAAACATTCATTCCACACTACTGTGCGAACTCACAGAAAATTACATGCATTCTATACTATTACAAGTACCTCCCTGACAGGATTGTCATGGGAGGGATGAATAATGCCCTTATACCCATGCAGGCTAAGGAGATTCACACACTGATTCAATTTATCCTTAAGGTCCATGATCTCCATGTCCTGAGCGTGCACCCTCATCAACAACTCCTCTCGAGAACTCCGAGTTCGAGGATCCATAGTTTCCTCCGGACGCTCGAAAGCTTCAAAGTCAATATTGTTATCCAGCAGTAGATTTTGCAATTGGGCAATATAGTCTGTAAGAAGCTCAATCTCACGAGATCTCTCTTTCAATATATCCATGGCTGCGATAAAACAGCGAGTCCTGACCATAATCATGTGCTGGACTCGAGCTAACACTTGATGCTTCTCGAGAAACCAGGGGGACACAGTAATCTGCTGTCTTGCCCTAAGCCGAGCGTTTTCCTTCTCCAAGGTCACCAGCTTATCGTGGATCTCGGCCTCAAAATTCAGAGAGTCACTGTGGTCCTTCAAGCTTTGAACCTCTCGACGCTGCATTTCCTCGCGGAGTCCTTTAATCTCATTTATCAGATGCTGGTTAACCTTTACATTGTGCGTCCTCATGGCATCGAGCAGGTCATTCTCCAAATGTGCCACCGTCTCGAGGCTGTGCACATCAGCACGACTTCTCAGAATCCCGCTAATCATAGAATATAATGGGAACTCCCTCGACTGCTCCTCTGACAACACCATGTGGTGAACGCGGTGAACGGTCCAACTTTCCTGTTTCACCAGAGGAGTATAAGGCACTTACATCAAACCAAATAGAAAGCACACAGAGGACAAAAAAATGGAAAGGAAAGAGATGTTTGCATAAACCCGTGAAAAAGAAAATTAGTTCATTACAACGAAAAGATATGGTTTGAATGGCCTAGCAACTATTACAGAGGGCAGGATTCATACAGCATCACTGCCTTGGAAGGGGTCATTGGAAGGGTCCTTGGAAGGTGCCTGGGAGGCGTTCTCAACGGTTCTCTGAACTCCGGAGTGGCCGGTATCAGCAACGTCCTCCTCAGTTTCCTCGTCAGCGTCCTCGAGCTCGATACCCATATACTCGTCAGGTACCTCGGGTATAGGGTCTTCCTCACTTGGACCCTTGGCCAAGAAGGCAGGAACGTCGCCCGGAAACGAGGCAATCTCCGCAGGAGAACTCATTTTGGACATGGCACCGGTTAAAGCGGCCCACAGAGGAAGCTGCTCGAGGCTCAACCTTGTCAAGACCTTCACCATGGCTTCGTGCATGGTTTTCTTGGGGTCCTTTACCAGGAACTGCTTGAACCATTTAGCCTTAATTGGCCTATCCTGGTCGAGCCTCTTCAACCCTGCCATGCCAACTCGGTGCGCACCACACTTGGTGGCGACCAAGTTCATCTCCTCGAGGGCTGCGGCCATTCCCCCTGTGGACATCATTTTATACCTAAACGCGGTACACCACTGGTGAAGTTCTTCCTTGGAAATATGCAGGCTGGCAAACGACTTCATCTTCTCGTCGACCTCATCATATTTGGCCTGCACCTTGACAATTTCAGCCTCCTTGGTATGAACTTGGCGAGCTTTCTCCTCGAGGGTAACCACCTCGAATAACGCCTCGTCCCTTTTTGCCCAAGCTGTAGCCAGGTCTTCTCGAAGTTTCCTCAGCTGCACTAAGTAGGCCATCGAGGCCGCACTCATCTGAACCAACATAGCATATCAAGAACACATTGACACCAACGGCACATTTACAACCTAATCTGAAAAAGTACTTACCAGTCTCAGGCTGTTAGCTTCATTCAGCTAGGCAGCGAATTCCTCGAGAATAGGACACTCGATTGACGGCGGGTTGCTAAAGGTGTGAACTGCCACAAACGGGCCTCCCTCGAACAGTTGAGGAGGCAAGACTATGGCCTCCCCCTCGAGAGGGGCCTTCCCTTTCTCTGCCACAGGAGGAACTATGCTTGGCCCTACTTCCGGCACAGTTTTCTGAACGGACTCGGTGACAAGGGGCACCGTCTCGATGCTCGGCTGTGCAGTTTCCTTTGAGGGCGCATCCGTCTTGGCCTTCTTGGATTTCACCCTATCGCCCACCTTCACAATCCTTTTCTTCTTTTTTTTTTTTCTGAGGGGCGGCAGTAACAGTAACGTCCTCATCTAAATTCACAATAACAAAAGGATCTTCATCACCAAACAATCGAGACCCAGCATTGCTTGACGACATGACCTAACAACAAAGAAAAAAAAGAGGAAAACGATTAGTACCTTGATCTTCTTCAACAAAGATTTCGAGGGGAATTTTGGTTGCTCCCTCGACGATGACTGTATCACCTTCCTTCGCATATGGAGGGGGCACATAGTATTGAATGTCGTTCCACTTAAGGACCTTCGAGTATTTTAGAATTTTCTCCACATCTGCCTGGAACTCCTCGGTACACTCTTCATCCTCTTGGGCCCATTCATCTTTTATGGCCCCGAGACCCTCTGTCACTCGGAGATTCCATGGCAGACAATAACTTGCAAGCGCCTTTACAAACACAAAGTCCGGTTTCCATTCCGGAGAACCGCCATACGCCTCGACCATCTTCTTCACGCCAGTTCTAAGGCGTCTTTTTACTATATACCAATCCTGGAAAGAAGTCTAGGCCACAACTACTTGGAAAAAGTACCTCCACAATATTAATCGAGGTACTACTTTTACATGTTGGCACACTCTCGCAAACCCCAATACAAATGTAATTAAATTTGGGGTAAAACGAGCGAGAGGAGTCCTATGATGTTGAACAATCTCCTCAAACAGGGGGTAGAGGGGAAATCTAAGCCCTAGATGCATAAATCGATCATATACAGTAATCCTTCCCTTGGAAGAGAGTTGGCCCTCTCGTTTCCTAATGGAGCTCTCGCCTCTAAGGCTGAGGGGAAGTCATACTTGGATCTAAGATTCTCTACCTTATCCACCGAATCTATGGTGGATACAAAGTCCAAAACAATTTTTTCTTCGGAATCCCTAACCCTAATTCCGGCGAGGATCTACTCTGGCTGCAACAGAAAAGGAAACAGAACAAATCAGAGATTCAGATCTAGAAACTTACTATGTAAGGGGGATGTGACCACTCGCCTTTTGAATTATAACTTCCCAGTGTTGTTCAGAAGCCTCAATTTGCAACTCCCCTGGAAAAGGCGTTGCCGGGGCAGTATATTGGGTAAAATCTTGAAGATTCCGGCCGTGAAAAGGAATAGGATGCTCTGGTAAAGAAGAGCAGAATGGGGGCTGGAATACTTTTGCAAAGGAGAGGATTTTGTGTTTTTTCAAAGTAGGAAAGGGATTAAGTGTTGAAGGGACGGAGGAGTTTTTTTTCCTTAAAAACAAAATTGATTCCCCACGTTCCTCTAATTATGGACCACGACATGACAGTTATTGCGGGTTTCAAGGAAGTAATGATGTTGAGGCCGCCATTTGGGGAACGTGCCCGCTAATAACGTATAATTGAAAATTTGGGCGGGATTGGGAAGCGGGTCGTCTTCCCGGGCCAAGACCTGACCCGCCAGTTCCTCTCGATCCTCCATTGAGGGTTGTACGTTTGCATCGAGGATGTGTGGTATGCGACTTGATAATTAACCGATCGAGGGTAGTTATCCACTCTCGGGTATGTCTCAGGTAATGCTTATTTTGTGCCAAGTGTTGTTTGTGTTTACGTCACTAACAGCAGGGGCACTTGACGAGTCCATATCCATCACCGAGACTGGACCGGCCCGCCAAGGGTAGGAAGAGTCTAAACGGGACTCTTAGGGCGGTGTAAACTCCTAAAACCTAGTCGGATTCGGAAATATTCCAGGTGATCTCATACCTAGCTCGTACCACAATACAGGTACGCAATCTATAGCCGAACAAACTATCTTCCTAAACTTTCCAGCAACCCCTTTTACTGACTTAAGCATCGGAGTGTCTATTCTCGGGAGACCCCGAGGCCCTGTTTGCAGGAAACCCTAACCGGAGTTCCACAACTAAACCGGCGGTGCATGTCCAAGCATCGTCAGAATTCATGTGATTGAGATTTGAATGAGGAAAAGTTGTCAAGGGATGCGGAACAAGTGCGTTTATATATATTCCGATAATCTGATTCCGACCAGCCTTTTCTTTTTGGGTCATTTTCTAAATTAAATTCCTTTGTTAGATGCGAAACACTAACAGTAACCAAAAGTCAGCAATGACAGTCACGCCATCGATTTTTATTAATAACTTGAAACAAATGAGGGATAATATTAGCTCCATTTCAATGACATTGACGAGTTGAGCTGGAAATGAATAAACCTCGGCTTTTAAACCCCTCAACCCTTACATATTATCAAACAATGGCCCAAATAGGCCCCTAGATACCCATGACCTTAATCTAATCATCCTCTTTTCAGTTTCTTTATCAGCTAGTTGCCATGATGACTCCTGATGATCACCCTGCCTACTATATTAATTCGTTTAACCTACTGAGGTATAGGTTACAAAACCTCAAAATGTTTGCAATTTCCACTAAAAAATCAAGCAATGATTTTAGTGTTGGGCATTTCCTGGCAAGGATTGAAGATACTGTTCGGAGAAATGCAGAGCAGGTTCGCTCTGTTCATCTTGGATTAACAGGTCAAGCTGATCTATAGGATGCCGTCGACGAATTTCTAAAAGATGCTGCATCGCTTGATGGAGAACTAGATGAATGGTATGCCACCCTCTTCAATACATCAGGGCAGTCAGCTTCACTTACAATAGATGAAGTACTAGAAATCATTGGTTCCTTCCAGGAGAATCTTGTGGAGTTCAAGGGTTCAGAATGGCCATTTGTAACCCTTCGAGGGGTGGAATATAAGATGGAACCTTTGGGAGTTCAGATGGTCTTCTTGCAGAGTCTCATTCGTTTTGTTAGACAGAGAAACACTGATCCCGAAGACGATTTGTTGGTTCATACAGAACCTGTTGCTATCAGTGCTGCATATCTCCTGTCTACAAATTGAGCGCACAAGTTTGAAGTGGAATGTTACATGTTTAGGGGAATTACCTTTGAGAAAAGTAAGGAGTTGAGGATTTCAATATTGGTGCACACTATCAAGCCTTCTAATGCTCTGGCCTGTAAGACTTACACTGAAGCTTTGACTACGTTAAAATTGGCAAGAAAATCAGTTGATGATTTCAGTGATCAACACTTTGATGAGAAAGCTTTGATTGCGACCTCGGATTTCCTTAATTGTCTCATGTCCTTGCTTTGGGAAGTGCTTCAACCAGTGAATGCTTGTGCCGTTGTTCCAGCGAAGGATCAACGGTTAGAGCTATACGAAGGACTCAGATACTTGAGGAAAGTAATTCTCAAACTGCAGGCAAAAAAATTTGCTTACAAGACCAAGGAAGATATAGTAGCTGTGGTATGCGATGCTGGAGTCTTACTTTTCTCATTCTTCTAGGAAAATGTAACACCGGTGGACATTGGGCGCCTTTCGAAGTTGTTAGAATCGATCAAACTTATTATGGCAGAACTTGGAGAGAAAGAACCACATGTATTCTCTCGAAGTAGTACCCAGTTGGCTTATGTCGACCCTGTTTTAAAAAAATTGTTTGAGTTGAAAAGCTGCGGTGTTCAACCAACTGCAATGACTCAAGCTGAAACTATCCAAGAGGAACTTGTCTGCCTAAGATATTTCTTGGGTGACATTATGGAATTGCAACTTGATGATCAGCAAGAACTCCAAAGTTTGTGGGTTCATGTTCTGGGTCTGATATACTAGTTAGAGGATTGTAGAGGCGACAAAGGTGTTAGAAAACTGTATAGGGAGATATTTGTAATGACAACAAAAATTCAAGAAGAGGAAATTCCAAGGCACGTGAAGACACGCTTTCCTTAAAACAGATTCGCTCCCTCTCACGGAGTGCTAGAGGATGTAAGAGAGTCTGCTTCCCAGGATACAACGGATACATGATCTTGTCTTGCACTTAGACTAAATCATCAGTGAACATGAACTACGACTTTGATGAACACCAAGGAAGGTTAGGAGGATTTTGGCTAGTAGAAGAAAAGATAAAGTTGGTTCATTTTTCTTAAATCTTGGATTCTTGAAAATAAAGCAATACATATAGGATGAGAGAGCCCCAATATCACTTAAGATATTTTTAATTCAATTAAATGCACTAACTTGATGGTTAAAACCGTTACAACGGTTTTGCCTTTCAATTGAATTAAACCAAACATTCATTCCTATTGAATATCAAAATTCAATGGGAAGTAACATCTCTCCATTTAGTGATTGGAATGACAAACTGTGGTTGATCAGGCCACATATTCTCTTTGACACTCATGTCTAACTTTCCAATCGTATGAGAAACAAATTCTCATTCACACCTATATTTAGTTTATTTCCAACAATCCCCCACATGAATAGAAATTGTTTTCGGTTCAGTATTTGATGTTCATCAACTGATTCCTGCAAAGAGAAAGTAGGTGTTACCCTTTGAACTTCCCCTTTGTAAAGTATGCTTGCCTTACTAGCTGTCCAGTAGACGTGATGTCCTTGAACTGTCCGTCTATATTGTGTAAAGAACCCACATACAATACACAGGAACCATTCCCATTTTGTTCCGTTCTCATAGTTTTGTTCATTTTGGCCATGAACATGTCCTGGTTCTGCAAGAGTTTCTAAAGAACTGAGCCTTAACAGCTCTCCTTTGAAGCGGCCACTTCTCTCTTACATAGGTGACTTCATAAGTCTAGAGAAAACGATATTACTCTCTTAAGAGACATTAAAGCAATCACTTGCTATCCTCATCCTTTATATCACTGTTTCATGACAGAAATGAGCTGAGGTTACCCCCACAGTGACTACACCAAGTCTTAAGATTAGGTTGTTCCTTTGAACCTAGATCTTGGGATCTCTAGTCAACTAGGTAAGGTTTTCCTTCAAAAGACTTATATTCTTTCCAGGCTGTCTCATTTCTTTTGTCATTTTCTCAAGTATCGCTCTGTTTAACCCTAGGTTAGCGGATCCGCAATGTTATCTTTTGATTTCACGTAGTCAATTAAGATTTCTATAATTGAGAATACTTGCATAATGATACTGTATCTACAACAAGATAGTGTCGAGAATTACCATTATACAATTGAAAACGTATCATTCCACACGAGCATATCATAAGTACTTTAGTACTCTAACAATGGCAATCGAGTGCCTTAGTCTTTTATTACTCGTGTATGCACTTCACTTGCTTACCCTATAAGCATTTATCTTGTCTAGTGCAAATCATTAGATACATTAATCTTCTGATTATCCTTGAGTATTCTACTTAAGTAGTACTCCTTCCACATAACTAGGATAAACGAAGAATATCATCTCATGTTGTTCTAGCAACTCTAGAATCATTCTCATTCAAACTCTACAAGAGTTTTGTCTATATAATGAGCTTGACTAAAAATAAGACCATTTTCCATAGCTATGATTTTAACAACTAGAATCACATCAGGAAATCACATCTATTAAATTCAAATTTAACATGTAAATAGACAAGCTACCGATAATTTAGTATGTCTCTCACATAGACATCAATTAACTTAGACTTGTCATTCTATTAGTAATCTTTGGGCATGTTCCAAGCATACATAGATTATCAGTATTTGGAGCTTGACATACTCATATTGCTTTGTATCTATTTTCCCGTTGAAGGAAACATCCTTCATCTCATCACGAGAGCATCCATATCAAGTAATCTAAACAAACACATTGTTCATTTACTTTGATTACTTACGTGAAGTAAACTTACTTCCAAGTATAATTTTTCAAAAAGAATCGATACACTCTTTATGACTTCTCTATAAAAAGTTCATCAGAAGAATAAACATAAATTCGTAATTCATTCAAATCATCTCTAAATGATTTTCATTTGGCTCCTAGCCACATCTTGGTTCTTCAACTTAAACCATTTCCTTTCCAAAAGAATTACAAATTCTTTTTATCGCACCATAGTGTTCTTTTGTAAATTTGACAAATTCAAAATATACACAAAGAACCACTACATGGTATTGTAACATACTCATGGCTTATAAAGATATAATCAAACGTAATAGGATTTATATGTATTGCCTTTAATGAAAGTATCAACACCAAGATACTTTGACACTCGCAAGTGTTTAATTGCATTACTCTATTAAGACCCACACACTCGCAACCGTTTATAAGGTGGTCGCCATTTCTTTCACGATACCTTAACAAGGTAATCACTTGATAAGAAACTTCCCCACATTTGGGTGATAATACCCAAGTTAGAGAATTGCATTTATCATTTCATCAATGTGTGACCTTTCAGTCCACAATCTGATTGGATTCATGTAAATACATGGTAGTCACTTCATAGACAATTCTATGATGTGCAAAGAAGTCACCTATTGGTGCCTCACTCGCCACTTGTACCACTTATCCAATGTCTGTTTTTTTTTTTATTGAATCGATTCTCAAACTTAGTCCACTAGAAAACAGATTCCCTTTATGGATTGTATTTCCATAGAGGACCAAATCTCTAGAGTTCATTTTCTAAAAGATAAAACTCAACGGGAAATATCATGTTCATCCTTTTCCACACATGAAATTACTAATGCCTCAAAAATGGCTTTGGACCAAATAACCAACACCTTAACTTAGACCACCATAATGAAAAACATTTGTTTTACCAAACTCTTTCACACACAAAATGAGTTTTAAGATCTCAGATTGATCTCAACAGTCAATTCTAAAACCATGTATGCACTAAGTATTGCACACAAGTATTTTTACACTGACAGTCAATTATGGTTATTTTCTTATTCCCATGCGTAACATACTCCATGAAAGTACATGCAATTTCTGTGTAAGGACTCAACTAATTAATCTCATGAATTGAGCATTAATTATTTTTCAAATTTATTACTCCAGAAAAAGCGTACCACACATATATAATATCACATGCAATCCTTTAGTGTCACAATAATAAATATAATAACTCATGGAGTTATAAAATATTTATATAATGATATTACATATATGAACCATATCTAACAGAATAAAATTGATCATGCCACTTCCATTTGTTTACATTACATTGTTGTTAATGGAAATAATCTGCATGTAAATAATAATGACATACTCCTTTCCACATGATTAACAAGCAATGACTTTGACATTTTATTGCGTGTAATTGGAAAACCAATTAAACCACTGCACTTAAGCACCACTTTAATGTTATTCATGGTAACTTAATTGTATTGATCAATTTACTGCAGTCCCACTACTTTCATGCAAACAGGTGTAAGTGCCCATTATTAACCCTATTATATGGGTTTCACAAATGGCCTTATGGTAACGCATGCATCTTTACTAGATAATTGCAAGGGTCATTTCAGATTTTAGCATTCAAGAGGTCATGTATCTTAAAATCACAATGATTTATCAAATTGGGTGACTTTTGAGTATTTCCGAGTCATATATGTAGAATCATTCATTCCACTAGACTCATGAATATAATCATTTTATAAAACATACCCATAAAGATATACTACATACATTATTAATGATTTTATTCTGCAAAAGATATAACTTTCAATGTAGTAGCTAAGTTGACCAACAAATGACTAAGTAAATTTATTTGTGTCATAATTCAAATCAATGAATTTTCCACTAATCCATTACGCATTCTGATTACTGAAGTAGTATATTTCAAATTGTGGGACTCTAAATTTCCTTTTTGACCAGAAACATTTGGACACCTTAAAAGCTTTTAAACCCTCATAAAAGAAAAAACTGTAGACATCAATTTAATTAAGTCCCATAAGTTTTTTTTTCCCTTTTTTTCCAATGCAAATAAGTAACAAACATGATTATACAATTAATCATGCAAGCATTAATGCATTGATGTTTATGCATTTCCCTTTCATATAGTAAAGGAATACAAATGATTCATCTAAGATGGATTCTAATCCAATCTCACATTTATCAACTAGTAGTGCATAATTTGCACAAATCAATTAGCCGTGCAAAAGTACATGACTAATCAACACGTAATTGCATAAATTCATAAAGCACGTAAATTTTTTTTTTTTTCCTTTTTCCACTTTGTGTGTAAACACCTTTCAAGAGTATAGTACACACACAATATTTATGTGGACAACCATACATGGCTACGGAAAAATTGTATGCAACTATTCCATTGATTCAGAGTTGCACCTTTGCAAATATAAACTTCAATTTGTGGCAAGAAATAGGTAGATCTATTCCACCACCACTCATGTGTCCAGAATTTCCCATGATCACACCATTTGATCTCCTTCTCTATTTCCCTACATGAAGAGAGGAAAATATCAACATTTTTAAACAAAACAAAAATTTTCTGTCCTAATTACGACGATCCTTTCGTCGGTACAGATAAGTCGACGGAGATCTCGACGATTGGTGGGTTGTCAAACCAACAAAAATAAAAGATTCTACTCCTAACAAATTTAGTAGTATAGTAGTGAGTAGAATCGTCTCCTCAGGGAGCAAGGAAGTGAAAATATTTCCAATCAAAAGCAAAGTAACTAAATGGGAGAGATTTTGGATTTGTAACTAATGAATAACAAAAATAATTTGCAAGCAATAAAAGATACTTTTAGAAAATCAATAATAAGAGCAACTCTAGTCAAAGGAATAATTTCCACCTTGATGTATCCAACTGATCATTGATGCAAAGGTTAAATCAACAAATGATGAATATATTAGTTATCGTTGTTGGAACCTCCTAACAACTCCGTCTTTTTATTTAACTACCAGTGACTAAGAAACCTTCATTAATCACTCTATAGCCAAAAAACACTACCTGGAACCTCCCAGGATTTATTTTTTGACAAGCAAAGACCCAATTCAATTTCTAACAAACAAACCTTGTTTCATTAAAAATTGATTATTTATTCTCACAACACAAGTAAACTACTTACCAAGTAATTATTTGCATTGTCTCTTCTAAGGAACAAACAAACCTTGTTGTTCAATAAATTAGATTATCTAGGAGAATTGAATGCTACCAACTATTCAAATAATGTCAAATAATCATCAATACACATCAGAGAGAATAAATAAATACTCAAAATTTGTTGGTGAAAAACAAACAGTTAGATCCCACAATTGAATAATATCAAGACTTCAATAAAATCCTTTAACTAGAAAAGAGTTTTAGTTGCTAATCATGGTGAAATCAAAAATACAAGAATTGATGTTTGACATTACAGAGCTAAAACTGACGAAAACGGAGAGAAATCCTTGTCCTGAGCTCCAGCCGTCGCTCCTTATGTTGTGCCTCTTCTCCTCCCTTTCTTAATAATAAGAAACAGGCTATTTATATGCAAATTTTGGGCATCCCCAAGTTCAGCCCGTCCAGAAATCGCAACAACCAATTAAATTTTTCATAATTTGCAAATTTGTCCCTGAAGTTTGCCAAAATTATAAGTTAACCCTAGAACTTTTGAAATTTGCACTTTAGTCCCTATTACAGCGTGCCCACGCGGAAATACAACGTCGTTGCTGGAATTTCCTGCTTCCTTCATTGATTTTTGCATGGATTTTGTGTGCCCACGCGGGAATCAACCACTTCTTCTCCAATTTGAAACTTGATTCAATGAAACCTTCAAAATCTCTTCAAAATCAACACTTTTCTTCTTTTTATTCCAAATCCTTCCTATGATATAATTAAGAACCAAAACACTAACATTAGCATAGTTAATATTCAAAACAACACATAAACCACCACAAATATCATGTTAATATTTACATTATCAACTCCCCCACACTTAGATTTTGCTTGTCCTCAAGCAAACTTAAAAAGAATAACTTTTAACTCAACTTGCAAACCACTACTTTGAACCACAAAATTTGGAAATCATTTAAAACATAATCTCAACTACCATGTCACACATCAATCATAAACTTAATCAATTAGGCAATCAAACATAAACTCCTCTAATACTATGCATAGTCAACAAGATAGTTGCTTCATCCCTAAACTCCATCAATGATTGGAACAAAATCACCTCACCAGTAAGTTCACTCATTTTCTTTCTTCTTTTCTCTCAAGTGTAGCGTATCAAACAATTCACACAAATCAATATCTAGCATAATACACAAGAATTTGAAAAGGCGTCACATCATCATACACCAAGCAAATAAACTTACCAATAAAGATCTTTACATAGGGTTGTAATGGGGCTTTAGGTAAGGAAAAGGGTGGATAATTATGGATGTAGGCTTATTATTCTGTCAAGATAGATTATGTATACTTAAACTCCACCATCTTACCAGATATCCCATATAATGACATTACTCATCCTCACACTTCAGAGTTCAAGTGTGCTTTGCATAAGAACTTGCAGTAAACTTCTCATATTACATTTACAAACCTATGGCATCTCAAAGATATAATTAAGAACTTGCCATACTCTTAAACAAGTAGAAAATAGGGATTCATGCGATTTTTTTCTTCTTTTTTTTCCGAGTATTTTTCCTTTTTTTTTTTGCATTTTTCTCTTTTTTTTTCCGCACGCCCTATATTACATCAAATGCATAACTTAAAACAAGAACACATGCCACTATAATGTCCAACTCTTACCACAAACCCAGTTTAAGCAACCTAATCCAGAGCTTGACAAAAGGGTAAAGGATAAAAAAACAAGGCTAATGGTTTAATATATCTAGAGCTAAAGAAAAAACGGTCAAGGCTTGAATGGTTCACTAAGGGTAAACATAAATGGGTAGGCTTTTTAAGTTAACTTGGCTAAATCCTAGTGCCTTTATTCTTGTGGCAAGCCATCTACAAGAGCACAAATGTGTCCTAGCTCGGCAAATTCAAGATTAATCCATACTAGATATGATATACTTCCCACATAAAAATGTTGAGCATTCATATACACTAACTCTATTTGCTCAGAAAAGCTCAGATCACTCAATTTAAAGTAACTTTTTTGTGATAATATTCCAATCATCAACTTCAACACTTAAATTCACAACATATCTGAATAGTACATAGCAAAGAAAAATTTATGTTTTTCATGCTTCACTTTTCAACCTATGATGATTAGCAACATAACAGTTGAAACGTTTGAAAATAGTGGTTCAGACTCAAATTTTTGAAAAAATTTTTATCATAAAGAAGTTTAATTCTTTTAAGTAAGCAATTTAATGAAGACAAAATTGAAACACACAAACTCCTCCCCCACACCTAAAGCATACATTGTCCTCAATGTATAAAACATGTAGAGATAAAGAATAAAAGCACATACAAACTCCCAAATAATATTAAAAAGAAAAAAAAACGGTACTTCCTTGGGAATTCGTAGTGGAGGAATCAAACTTGATGTGAAGCGGCAGTAACATCTTTTTGCATTGAATCAAAAGGATTGACCACATAGAGGAATTTTCCTCGGAAGCTAGCTGTCACACTCAAACAAACCATTAAAAAAAACCTAACTCTACGTCAATCAAATGATTAAGAAAAATCACAAAAATTAAGAAATCATAGATCTCAAGATCATCAGGAACAAAAAACTTAACCACCTAGTCGATTTATTCAAGAAAACAAATAACAAAAATCAAACCATCGGGTTGCCTCCCAACAAGCGCCTTTCTTTAGTGTCTTTGGCTAGACACAGCGTGTGTGTCAAGGTGGAAATTTGAAAGCTCCACACACAATCTGAACTTAATACAACTCTGAATAGGCCTCAACAAAACCAAGGTTATATGTCTCAAACTGATATTCAAGCATTGTATCAACAAAAAAAAGGTGGAAAATGATCTCCTCTAAATGACTCTTTAAAAGTATTACACACTCTCCACACATAAACACAAACATGAAATTCAAAATTGACATCTATCATCCACCCAAATTCAGGAGGTCTAAGCAAATGTCCATATGCATGCTTAAGATCTATAGGTATGGATCTTAAGTCAACTTTTGATGGTTTCCACTTTTCAAAAATTGTGGGCACATAGTCAAAAGGACAACTACCATTCAAATTAACTCGTGAAGCACACTTAGCATTCAAATTCACAATTTTCCAACCTAAAGATTTAACTCCATTTGTTAATTTAATTCTAGCAGTTTTTCGAAATGACCTTCCTAAGAAAACTGAAATCAATTTTATTGCAGAATTTTCGTTCAAATCAATCACATCAAAAGTAACAGGTAAAACAAAATGACCACTTTTCACTATAGATTTCTCAAACATACAAGTAGGAAATTCAAGAGACTCGTCAACAATATTTATAGCCACATTGCTTTTAGATAAAGGCTCATGTTTTAACAAGTCAAATATAGAACAAGGTAAGTTACTCGAACCAAATTCACCAAGTTGAACCTGTTGAAGATTGCAAAATATAGTGAACATACCAAAGATCTAGCATTTTGGATGAAATTCTGAATTAAATGTCCTGTAGGAATTATTGCTTACCGAAATAATCTCATTACTTTCGAGAGAGCTCTCTAAGGCTTCTTTCTCATTCTCTTCTTCCTTTGGCTCCAACAACCTCTCTAAAAGAGATAAAAACATTGCATAAGTAGGACAAGTATACATAGCAACAACACTTTCCTTATCAATATTTTCCAAAGCCTTTTTCATTGCTTCTTCTGCCTCTGCATCTTCAACACTTTCTTCATCATGCGCGTGTGTGGCGTCTACTAGAACATTCGCTTCAGAAGGAATCTCCACATTATCAGGCTTAACCTCTTCTTTAATCGGTCCTCTGAACCTTCCAGGAAAAAGAGGGGGTATCACAATCTTTGGTCGCTCCTTCTTACATTCCTTTATTTCTTCCCTCTTTAGTACATCCTGCTTGATTTTTGTGTCTTCCACCACCATTGTACATTCACTCCCTGTAGCATAATTTTCAACTTGATCTGGAATCTGAAATGTCTCAGCCTCTAATCTACCAACTTCTGCAACCATTTGGGACATTTGATTCTCCAAGTTTTGAATTGTAGCACAAGTAGATTGCGATTCCTGTATAAGATCATGAACATTAATCGCCAAATTTCTAATCATTTCCTCTAAAGACATACCTGGTTCTGGCATTGGCATTGGTGGTTGTGGGTTGTAGTCGTAATTTTGGCAATCTTGCAAACTTGGATAATGTGTATATGGGTTCTGCTCATATCCCCTTTGTGGTGATTCCTAAAATCCTCCTTCGTTACCCACATATCCTCGTGGATGATATTGAAAATTTGGAGAAAAATTAGCTGTGTGACCGTGCATAGAACCTATACCACATGCTTGCACCTGCTTGAGTTGACCTACAGAAGAAGTTAGTTCATCTAGTTGTTGACTGATGGACAAGAGTCTTACCTCATTTGGATCCCAGGTGTTATACTAATGATATCCATATGAACTCATGGCAAAAGTAAAATCTCAAAATAGAGAAAAGAAAAACAAAAGCAAAAACAAAAACAACTTCTAAAGAGAAATAAATCACTTCACCGTGCTCCCCGGCAACGGCGCCAAAATTTGGTGGGTTGTCAAACCAACAAAAATAAAAGATTCTACTCCTAACAAATTTAGTAGTATAGCACTGAGTAGAGTCGTCTCCTCAGGGAGCAAGGAAGTGAAAATATTTCTAATCAAAAGCAAACCTTATTGTTCAATAAATTAGATTATCTAGGAAAATTGAATGCTACCAGCTATTCAAATAATGCCAAATAATCATCAATACACATCAAAGGGAATAAATAAATACTCAAAATTCGTTGGTGAAAAACAAACAGTTAGATCTCACAATTGAATAACATCAAGACTTTAACAAAATCCTTTAACTAGAAAAGAGGTTTAGTTGCTAATCATGGTGAAATCAACAACACAAGAATTGATGTTTGACATTACAGAGCTAAAACTGACGAAAACGGAGAGAAATCCTTGTCCTGAGCTCCAGCCGTCGCTCCCTATGTTGTGCCTCTTCTCCTCCCTTTCTTAATAATAAGAAACAGACTATTTATATGCAAATTTAGGGCATCCCCACGTTCAGACCGTCCGGACCGTCCAGAAACCCAACAACCAATTAAAGTTTTCACAATTTACAAATTAGTCTCTAAAGTTTGCCAAAATTACAAATTAACCCCAAAACTTTTGAAATTTTGCACTTTAGTCCCTATTACAGCGTGCCCACGCGGAAATACAACGTCGTTGCTGGAATTTCCTGCTTCCTTCATTGATTTTGGCATGAATTTTGTGTGCGACGCGGGAATCAACCACTTCTTCTCTAACTTAAAACTTGATTCAATAAAACCTTCAAAATCTCTTCAAAATCAACACTTTTCTTCTTTTTATTCCAAATCCTTCCTATGATCAAATTAAGAACCAAAGCACTAATATTAGCATAGGTAATATTCAAAACAACACATAAACCACCACAAATATCATGCTAATATTAACATTATCAACGATCGTCAACTTTGCATTTTGTTAGGCATCATCGACTTTAGCGTCGATCAGCAGAACCCCGACGTAGTAGTCGACGTCGGTCACTATGACTTCAATTCGGTTTTTTTGAGCTGTTCATAGATCTCGATGACAGACGACACGTCGATCACTATGACTTCAATTCGGTTTTGTCGAGCTGTTCATAGATCTTGACGACAGACAACAAACATCCATCTTTGACATGTTTTCGAACCAAATTGAATTTGATCATCTCCTCGCAAATCATCATTCAATATCTTTAATGATCCAAAGACCATCATGGTTACTATCACAATACAAATGAATCTATTTTAAGTTTGTTGGAAAAGTGTATAGAGAGATATTTGTAATGACAATAAAAATTCAAGAAGAGGAAATTCCGAGGCACGTGAAGACACGCTTTCCTTAAAATAGATTCGCTCCCTCTCACGGAGTGCTAGAGGATGTAAGCGCATCTGTTTCCCAGGATACAACAGATACATGATCTTGTCTTGCACTTAGACTAAATCATCGGCGAACATGAACTAGGACTTTGATGAACACCAAGGAAGGTTAGGAGGATTTTGGCTAGTAGAAGAAAAGAGAAAGTTGGTTCATTTTTCTTAAGTCTTGGATTCTTGAAAATAAAGCAATACATATAGGATGAGAGAGCCCCAATATCACTTAAGATATTTTTAATTCAATTAAATGCACTAACTTGATGGTTAAAACCGTTACAACAGTTTTGCCTATCAATTGAATTAAACCAAACATTCATTCCTATTGAATATCAAAATTCAATGGGAAGTAACATCTCTCCATTTAGTGATTGGAATGACAAAATGTGGTTGATCATGCCACATATTCTCTTTGACACTCATGTCTAACTTTCCAATCGTATGAGAAACAAATTCTCATTCACACCTACATTTAGTTTATTTCCAACAAAAGGAACTACAATCTTCTTTTGAATAATATGCCAAGGAGGAAGAGATTAGATTAAGAGTTGCCGTAGAGGAAGAGAAGAAAGAATGTGAAGAGTGGCAACATGAGTTCAAGCAAGAGATCCAAGATTTGGTTTTGGAAAAAAAATTTTCTAACAACATAAATTCTTTCGTTGTTTCTATTTCTTATTCACAGGTTGAAGATGTTGTTGAAGAATATCATTCCATGTCACTAAATTTTGAAAATTCCCTGCTGGATCATTTTCAAGATGATGAGTCTAATCATTTGCCATTATTTGAAGAAGTGGAGCACATTGATTTTGTGTTCGGTGATAAACTTTCAACGGAGGTTGTGGTATTTAATAGCTTTCTTGAAGATATAAAAAGAATACAAAGAATAAGAGATAATATATGTAATTATTCTATTTTCAGTAAATATCTAGTTACCAAACTAGGGCCTTGTAATTGTTATATAAGTAGACAACTTTACGGATCAATGAAAATGAATGGAATCATCTTTCAATCCATTTTTTTTATGGTATCGAGAGCTAAAACCCTACAAATTCTTTTCGATCCTGTACGGCTGCGGCTGTAATTTTTCTTCCTTCGGCTATTACAAAATCGGCCATTGATCGTTTCTCTTTCTTCTTCGGCCATTATTCATTATGGTTGAAACATCTTCATCATTGTTCTCTGAAGACGGCGACTCCGGTGAATTCGACTCAACAGACTCCTCCCACCGGACCTGTTGGCGGCATCGACACAAAGTCACCATACTATGTGCATCCATCCGATCATCCGGGCCTTAATTTCATCACCACTGCATTGACGGAAACTGGGGATAACTATTTCACATGGAGGAATACTTTCCTCAATTGTCTGCTATCCAAAAATAAAGCCGACTTCGTGGATGGTTCAATCAAACGGCCTGATGTCAACTCCGGCGATTTTCAGACCTGGATACAAGTCAATGCTATGGTTAAATCTTGGTTAACCAATTCAGTTTGCAAGGAGTTGCAAACGACTGCAGCCCATTCTGAAACCGCCGAAGAAATCTGGTTGGATTTGGAGGAACGGTTTACCCAAGGCATCACTCCCAGGGTTTATCAATTGAGGTGATCGATCGCCTTATTGCAGTAGGAGAAGATGGCAATGTCTTCATACTATGGGAAGTTGAAATCCATATGGAGTGAACTACATAATCTCCAACCGCGATTCTGCAGCCATTGTAACAAGAGCAATCATACTCAGGATTCATGCTATGCCATTCACGGTTATCCACCTGGTTGGAAGGTACCAAAGAATCGCGCCGGGGCCACCAAGGTTGTGAGCTCATCTGCTCGTGGTTCGGGTTTCCAATCAGGAACACCAGCAGTTTTTTCTTCCGTTGCTGATCAGTCTTCTTCCCAGGGGCTGCCATCCTCCATAACTCCGGCTCAAATTCAGCAGATTATCACACTTCTTAGAGGGAATCAATCTGCAACAACCGGGGCCTCTTCTTCCACAAATCAGTTGGATAAGAGTGAGAAATGGGCTGCGGATTCTAGGGCAACTGATCGTGCATCATATATGATTCATTTGATGACTAATAGTTTGAAGTCTTGTGGTGATCAATATATTCGGATTCCAAATGGTGCTAGAGTTCCAGTTCGTGAGATTAGAGCGATCCGACTTGATAACAATTTAATTCTCAATAATGTGTTAGGGGTGCTAAATTTTCATTTTAATTTGGTATCGCTCAGCAAGCTAACACGTGATTTAAATTGTATTTTCACATTTGGATCTGCCTTTCTCTTTATACAGGACTTAGTCTCAGGGAAGCTGATTGGAGCGGGTAGGATACGCGATGGCTTATATTACTTGGAACCAATGAGGGGTGTTGATGGGAAGGCAGTACAAAGAGCAATGGTTTTCAGCAGAGGAAGCACAACTTTTTTTTCTCTGTGGCATCGTCGACTTGGACATCTTCTGGTTAATAGACTCTCACTGGTGCCAAAATTTTTCAGCTGCATTTGATTCCTGTCATAGCTTTGTTTGTGATGCATGTTGTAGGGCAAAACAAACTAGATTGCCTTTCCATTGCATCAGACTAAATCCTTGAATAATTTTGATTTGGTACATTGTGATGTATGGGGACCTTATCATACTCCATCTAAATATGGTGTGCATTATTTTCTTACTATTGTTGATGATCATAGTCGTTCTACCTGGGTGTTTCTTATGCGTTATAAGTCTGAAACTAAGAAGTATTTGTTGATGTTTTTCAACTGGGTCAAGACACAATTTGATGCTAGTAATTCAGTCATTCCACCTTGCTCACTCATTTCATGGATAATGGCATCGAAAAGCAAACTTCTTGTGCATATACACCCCAACAAAATAGAGTCGTAGAACGCAAACATTGTCATATTCTAGAGGTTGCTAGGGCTTTAAGGTTTCAAGCTAATCTTCCTATTAGTTTTTGGGGAGAATGTGTTCTTACTACCACCTATCTTATCAATCGTATGCCATTGTCTTCCTTAAACAATCAGACTCCCTATGAGGTTTTATTTGGTCATACACCATCATATTCTCACCTTTGCTGTTTTCGATGTCTTTGTTAAACTCATAATTATGCTAAACCATGAGATAAGTTTGCTTCTCAAGGTCATCCGGGTGTTTTTGTCGGTTATCCATATAGTCAAAAGGGATATCGAATATTTGATTTAGAGCGAAAAGTAATCATCACTTCTAGGGGATGTTCATTTCTTTGAAGATGTTTTTCCCTATTCCATGATTCCATCCTCAGCCAAATCACCTCCAATCTCCATTGCTCCGGGAGCTGATTATGATCCTCCTATGTCCTTTATTACTGACCCCTCTACACCGGCTCCTTTAGACGTTCCTCAAAATGAGTCCCCTGTAATGCCATCAAACTTGGGTGATCTTCCTTCTCCTAAGAATTCCCCGGCATCATCACTTAACCAACAATCAGAAGTTGAATCATTGCTATATCCTCCAGCTCGCAGAACTCGCCAGGTGTCACAACGCCTTTCTGGTTATGACTACACTCTGCCTCCCTCATTGGTTCCTCACTCATCGCCATCCCACACGCCTTCAGCTAACTCGACAGTATACCCTCTTTCCAAATCATTGTGTTATACTCGATTTTCTAAGTATCATACTGCTTTGTTATCAGCCATCTCTACAACGGATGAGCCTACTTCATTCTTCGAAGCAGTTAAACATGCACATTGGACAGATGCCATGACTAGGGAGATTGCAGCTCTAGAAGCCAATACTACCTGGACTTTAGAATCTCTGCCTCCTGGGAAAAAGGCGATTAATTCGAAATGGGTTTACAAAGTCAAATTTCACCCAGATGGGAGCATTGAGCGTTTTAAAGCCCGATTAGGTTCCAAAGGATGCACTCAGATCGAGGGAATTGATTTTCGTGAGACTTTTGCTCCAGTTGCCAAGCTAGTCACTGTTCATTGTTTGTTGGCCATTACTTCCGTCCGTTCTTGGGAACTGCATCAACTAGATTTGACTAATGCTTTTCTTCATGGTGATTTAGATGAAGAGGTCTACATGCAAATTCCTCAAGGTTTTGTGCGAAAGGGGGAGCAACGTGTTTGTCGTCTTCGTAAGTTACTCTATGGCTTACGGCAAGTGTCGCGCAATTGGTACCAAAAATTCACTCACTCTCTTGTTTCGGTTGGATTCAAAGAGTCATTTTCTTATTCTTTATTATTTACTTATGCTCATGGTCATTGTTTCATTGCAATTCTAATATATGTTGATGATATTATTGTTGCTGGTAACGATCTTCAAAAGATTAGTAAGCTCAAACAATATCTCAACAGCAAGTTTCATATCAAGGATCTTGGACCTCTCAAATATTTTTTGGGGCATAGAAGTTGCTCAATCTCCCTCTGGCATTACTCTTAGCCAACGGAAGTACACTCTAGATATCCTTTCTGAGTGTGGACTTACTGCTTGTTGACCTTGTACTACTCCGATGGAGCAGCAACATCGACTTACCTATGTTGTTGGTGATCTTTGTGAAGATTCAGGTCGTTATAGACGTATTGTGGGCCAGTTGTTGTACCTAACTATCACATGCCCAGATATTAGTTATGTTGTTCATATCCTTAGCCAATTTATACAAAAGCCTCACCAACCGCATATGGATGCTGCTATCAGGGTTTTGCATTATTTGAAGAAAGACAAAATGCACTTTTTGCCCCCCAGCTTTTGGAAGTAGCAAAATCGAGTCCCATGAATTTTCAATTGGTAAAAATAATCCCCAAAAATATTTTTCTCATCAATTTTGGTCCATTTAAGAGAAATTTTGAAGAGTTAACGGATTGTGTCAACTTTTCGTCAACCCCCAATTTTTATATTCATTTACACATTCTGGGGCCCACCGATTTTGACCCAAAAACTATTCTTTTTTTCCTTTTTATGTCTGAAAAAAACGAACGAAAAAACATAATACAATTGGTGCTAAATGGGGAGGAAACATCACGCCACAAAACGAAGATGGAAGCTCCAGTTGAGTATTTGTTGGATCTGCTGCCAAAGCCTAAAGTCATCCTATTCCTTCACCTTTGCGAGATTAACGGGGACAATGATTAACGAATTTTATGGTGATATGGGTGTTCAAATTGGGCAAGGAAGATGGGTTGCCCTTCCGAATTGAGATCGGCTAAGGCTACGGCTTCGGCTTCGGATTGGGATTAGGATTCAGATTCGAATGATGGGATTTTCCATGGATTAGAGAACATAGTGCTGATGGTAAGCAGGGACCGAGATGTTCTCCTGCCGCTATTTTTTTCGGTAGCGATTTCGCACAAAATGTTTTGTGGCGAAAATTATGGACTTTGGTTTTTTTTCTGGTGAAAATTAGAATTTGGTTATGCATATTTAGGTTCCTAGGTTTAATTTAATGGTAGAGATTGGTGAGCTGATAGGATTTTGAAATCCTTCTATTTGCAATTTAAATGCGAAAATTTTCAAATTATTTTGGATTGGTTTCATACGAAATAGTTGAAACTAATCAATGTAGTCGTGGTGGATTCTTTTTATGCTTTATCTATGGATTAATGATGGTAGAAACATTGGATGATTTAGATGGTGGCATTTCGTTGAACTCCAATTTTTCACGTGAGATGGTGGCATCGAGGAGCTGTTACTCCAATGGTTCATACATAGCTGAATCAACTCCAATTGTTCAGTGGGCTCTGGACCGGTGGAGGATGTGTCGTACGTGTTGAATCTCTGGATGTTCATGTCATCCATTAGTACAACTTACGAGGATGATGGTATTCTTCGTGGTGTTGTACCATCTAAAACCCCAGCAGCTTCCACAATAACTCTTTCATTATCAACCACACTGGCAATATTCAGAGGAGTACCATTCTACTCAAGCGCCAAGGTAAACAACATGCCGGCGTCATGGTTCTCCGATTCCGGCGCCATAATCTTTTTTTCTCTTTTCATTTTTTGTTTTATTAATTTTTTTTGTGGGTCAAACTCGGTGGATCCCACTAACAGTGTTGAAATGAATATAAAAATTAGGAGTTGACGGAAAGATGACACAATCTGTTACCTCTTCAAAATTTCCGTTAAATAGACTAAAATTGATGAGAAAATTATTTTAGGAGACTATTTTTGCCAATTGAAAATTCATGGTGACTCGATCTTGCTACTTCCAAAAGTTGGGAGACGAAAAGTGCATTTCGTCCTTTGAAGAATGCCCCTTGTCAAGGCATTTTGCTTCCTTCTGCGAGCACCTTGCATTTAAGGGCTTATTGTGATGCGGACTGGGCAGGATGTCCTTCTACTCGGAAATCTACTACTGGATTCATTATATTTTTGGGATCATCTCCTATTTCTTGGCGATCTAAGAAACAGACAGTAGTCTCCCGTTTGACAGCAGACCCGTTCTACAGCAGAGGTAGAGTATCGGGCAATAACAACCACATCTAATGAATTGGTACGGCTAGTTCGTCTATTGTCTGAGTTGCAGGTGTCATCTACGGGGCCGATTCAACTCTTTTGTCATAACAGGGAGCAATACATTGTAGCTAATCCAGTCTTTTATGAGCGGACAAAACACATAGAGATTGGTTGTCATTCATTCGTCATCACTTTCAATCTAAGCTTTTGGTTCCTCGTCCAATCTCTTCTAAATTGCAATTGGCAGATCTTTTCACTAAGTCTTTGGGACGAGATCAGTTTCATGCACTATTAGGTAAGTTGGACATTTTGGATTTACATGCTCCAACTTGAGGGGGAGTAAAGAGATAATATATATAATTATTGTAGATAATTGCGTCTATTTTAAGTAAATATCTAGTTACCAAACTAGGGTCTTTTAATTGTTGTATAAGTAGACAACTTTACATATCAATGAAAATCAATGGAATCATCTTTCAATCCATTTTTATAAAGAAGACTATGAAGAATGTTTCCTCTGGAATTGCATGAAGCACGATTCGAGGACGGACCGTTTCGAAGAAAGGGAGAATGATGTGATCCTGGATGGTCCGTTGAGTAACTATGATGATCATTACATTGATTGTGGTGACATAGGGGGTGTATGGTATTATATTGAAGTTGTAATCAAGAATGATAGAAGATTGAAGCCGAAATATGGTTCGCATCAAGCTAGAATCAAGTCGACAAAAAAGTCAACAAGATCGCGTCAACATAATGGCCAAGCAAATGAAATAGACGAGAAAGTTGACAAGGTGCGCGTCGATGTTTTAGCCGAGAAGAGGAAATCAACAAAGAGGTCGACAAGGTGCCGTCGAGTTCATGGCCGAGCAAAGGAAGTCGATGAGAAGGTCGTCAGTCGTGCGTCGAGTCACTTGTCGGTCGACAAACAAGTTGACGAAGTCGGGCAGAATTTTCTAATTTTCCTATTTTGATTAGGAAAAGGATTTTTCCGTAATTTGACCATTATGGCCGACTCTCTTACACCTCTAGAAGATTCTAGATGGTTTTAAATAATTGTGACATGTGCAATTATTTATTTAAATATTATTTAAATCTATATTAAGAAATTTAGGTAGTGAAATCCGATTTGAACTTGTATTTGAAATTCTTTTTGACCAAGCCAACCTATGCCTATATAAAAGGAGGCTGGTCGACCAAAACCATATGACATTAAGAATTATTGATTTTTTAATACGAGACGAGATGAAACTCTTTTACTATTCTTTTCGAAGATTAGTGCATTGCACACTTGTTTGTGTTTGTTGACGCGTGCACGTGATTTTAAGTGTTCTTCACATGTGGAGCTTTGTTATTTGTTCATTGGAGCCTTTTCGCTAGCCGTTCTATCCATAAATCGAAGAGATAGGGTTGTTAGAGAGGAACCGATTGGGTTGCTAACCAAAACACAATTCTTCATCTTTCAAATCTTCCATTTTTTTGGTGAAAATTTTTGTGATTTGTATCGTTCTTCTTCTTTTCTTCTTCTTTTTTTCGTGTGGTTTGGAGTCTTCTCCATTAGTATTGCAAGTTATCAAGTCTTGGAAAATTCATAGTTTTCGCGTTTGAGGTAATTCCATCATCCTGCCTCAAGATTCGTATCACGACTGATAATGATGTAGCAAAAAAACTCTGGCGTGATTTGAAGGGAAAGAGCTATCTCATTGTATTGGATTATAGATGGAAAGCCAAAGCTTGGGAATGCTTGCAACCGTCGTTTCCCGATGATTCTTGCAAGAGCAGAATTCTGTTTACAAATCGCAAGCACGATGTTGCACCTCTTGATATGCTTATAAACAGAAACCACATGAGCTAAGCCAACTTAGGAAAGAAGACAGCCTGGCTTTGTTCTAAAGACACTTGAGTGGTGGGACTTTTGGAGGTGATTTTGGTTTGGTATGGAATTTGTTGAAATATGCAGATGTGTACCTCTCACAATTGTTGTGGTTGCAGGATTTCTAAAATTCTGACCAGTTTAAGCAGAGGCAGATTATTAGATCCTTGATGGACACATTGGAGCTCAGTTATAAACATTTGCCCCAACACTTGAAGCCTTGCTTTCGCTATCTCACAGCATTTCAAGAAGATAAAATCGTCTCGGTCAAGAGGTTGGTTCATTTTTGGATGGCCGAAGGGTCTGTTCAGAAAGCTGAGGATAAGCGCCTGTCAAATGTTGCTGAATAGTATCTTAATGATTTGATTGATAGAAGCTTACTTATGGTCGCCGAAAAGAAATGGAATGGTAAAGCGGGGAAATGCCGTGTCCATGATTTGCTTCACTAGTTCTGTTTGCGTAAGGCCAGCAATAAACAACTGTTCAATTTCCTTGAATCAGGCAATGACAACGAGCTGTCGGCATTCAACGAGCCAAGCCACCTTCGGAGATTATGCATTCACTCCAGCGCGCGACGATTCCTGGAGTCGAAAATATACTGTTCTCATGTCCGTTCTCTGCGTTTCAAATACTACGAGACATCAATGACGCGGAATTTCTCGTTCGTGCAACTTTGCAGTGTTGGATTTGGAGCAAATTTGTTTGGAGGTTACGATTCCAAATGAAATAGGACTCCTAGTTCGGTTGGCCTACCTCTCAATTCGATGCTTGTGCGACGATATCCCGCCCTCTCGGTAGGTAACTTGTGTAATTTGGAAACTTTTATGTTTATAGGGAAGGAACTGGGAGCGACATATCACTTCCAGTCCATGACTCACATCTTTCAAATAGCACAATTGAGATAATCATCTTTATACGTAATCCGAGTAGAGCATTATGATGTTAAAACAACCTTCGTCAAACTAATAACATCAGCCTAAAAAACTTCCTTTAGTCACGAAGAGGGTATAGATTCCCAAATTTGTACAAATAGGCTGGAAAATGATGATTTAACTAAATTTTGACATGAACAAGAAATTACGATGAAATCAGAATATTTTTAAGAAGATATCGTCCACTACTATTGGTGGCAATTAAGGCTCATTTTACTGAAACAAAATTTTGTTTTGTAATAGTAGTAAAAAAAAAAAAATTAAGGGTCCCCAATACTTACTAAAACTTATTCCACAACAACAAATATGCATGCGTGTAATAACCATTCAATGGGAGATAAGTATTAGTGCTCTCCTTTCTTTCTTTTTTTCTTTCTTTCTTTTTTTTTTTTTTTAACTCTTGTGTATATCTCTATCTCCTGCAAAATTAGTGCCTTACCCCCAAATGTATCACACTTCACAAACCGACGTGATAGAAGTACTACACAAAATCTTTTATCCAAGCAAGTGAAAGAACTATTTTTATTTTTATTTTTATTTTAGGCTCAAAAGAGAATATACTAACAAGGGCCTGAATTTGAAAGCTATTCGCCGATAATGTGATACAAACAGAATCCAGTCTTATGAGTCTTAGCCTTAAGTGTGCTTGATCATTGGGTTTTATCCAGCTATTGATGCTCTTCACCATAAAGAGGCACCAATCACGTAATCACGTTTCATGAATTGATCTTAGCGATGAAAGGCTCCTTTAATTTGATGACTTAATGCCTAAAAGGCTAAAAGCATGACAATGTTTCATAAGATTGTGTATGGTTAAAGGGATCAAAACTTTGGCAGTGAACGGTGAAGTAATTCCGCATACTTCCACTGCAACTTTAATTATTGAATGAGAAAAGGCTATGAGGGAAAAAAAAGGAGTAGAATTAAATGCTAAACTCCTTGAAGCGGGCCATCTGCTTATCGTTGGTTCCACCATACAAATAGTTCTATATAATATAATATATATATATATATGTATATATATATATAGGGAGCATCTAGAGTCCCATAACGGGATGGTTCCATTTAAGGGTAATAACCGTAGGATTAATTAGATTAATTACCAACCGTTGGATTAAAATAAAGGTGTATTATAAAGGCATACGCCTAAATGCACTTGATTAAAAAAAAACCTAGTACTGGTTTGACCGGTTTATTACTGTTTAATTAAATTACTACACAACCGATTAAAAGGGAGGAAAAATAAAAATTTCGCGAACTGTGAACTAAAACACTCTCTCACCGGCGACACTTCGGAGTACGATCTCACATTCTCCTACTCCGGTTGTGATGGCAACAATGAAATTCCATCTCTTCTCTATATATAATTCCTTAATATGCAGCCGAATCCAATCAATTCAGAGGCTGGCAAGGAGAAATCTTTACTTAAATTTGAGAAGCTATTTGAGGCGGACAAGCAATTTTAGAGGTAATTTGGTAAGTTATCATCTAAATTTCTGTTATAAACATTCAATCCGACTATGTGGAAGCTGGGGTCATCGAAGTTTTGTTTTTGATGAGCTTCTTATGCTTCTTTGCTTTATGGTTCAATTTTTGCTCATCGAATTGAAGGCCTCGGTGTCTTGTATTTTTCCTTTTCCCTTTTTAATGGGATTGTTACAAAGCTTGTTGATTTTATTGGATCATCGTGTTGAGTTTCAGTATATATCGAAGTTGTGTTTTTTGATGAATTGAATGGCTCCTTTTGGCAGAAGTACATTAGCATTAGTTCCTACATTGAAAGAAAGTTAGCGGTAAAGTTGATGGCTGATAAGAATTCAGTCCCATGAGTACAAAATTCAGATTTGATATACTGTTTGGGAGAACTCAACTCTCATGTCTTTTAGTCGTTTATATTCAGGTTTCTTTTGTAAAACGCTCTTTGTGTGCCTATGTTATTTTGTAAAAAGCTATGTATATCTCAAGAAACCTGCTGAAGCAGAGTATACATACTTAGAAAGTGCAGAAATCAGATCTACGATCCTCTGTTGCAAGACTTTTTTTCTCTTAGTTCGCTAACTTTTTCAAGGATTTTTTTTATATGAATATCTTGATCATTGAGTGTAGTTTATTCCTGTTTTTACGGATTTCAAAATGGAGCTGTGGATTGTCCGAAAACTTTATTTGAACAGTACAAGTCTGAACTGAAAGTCTAAAATCCAGATTCTGATGTTCTGTTTAGGGGTTAATTAATCCTATTATTTTATTTGTTTTCTGAGGTTTCTTTCCATGGGAATATATTACATTTGAAGTGGTTTATTTCAATTTTAGCGTCTCGTAAAAAGGAGTTATGGTTTGAAAGAAAACTCGATTTGAACATGACCTAAAATCTGAAAGTTAAAGTAAAAAAATATCTGGTTTGATGTACTGTTTTAGGAGATTTATTTCTGTTGATTTCCGAACCTTTTCTCTGTTTTCTTTTTGTGAAATCTCTCTTTACCCATCATAGTTTCTCACAATTTTAATGACTTGAAAAGGTATGTATATCTCAAGAAACTTGCTTAAGCAGAGTATGCATACTTAGGAAGTGCCGAAATCAGATTTGTAGTTCTCTGTTGCAAGACCTTTTTCTCTTAGTTCGCTAACTTTTTCAAGGATTTTTATTATATGAATATCTTCCTCATTGAGTGTAGTTTATTCCTATTTTTACGGATTTCAAAACCTAGCTGTGGATTGTCCGAAAACCTGATTGGAAAAGTACAAGTCTGAACTGAAAGTCTAAAATCCAGATTCTGATGTTCTGTTTAGGGGTTCATTAATCCTATTATTTTATTTGTTTTCTGAGGTTTCTTTTCATGGGAATATATTACATTTGAAGTGGTTTATTTCAATTTTAGCGGCTTGTAAAAAGGAGTTATGGTTTGAAAGAAAACTCGATTTGAACATGACCTAAAATCTGAAAGTTAAAGTAAAAAAAATCCTGGTTTGATGTGCTGTTTTAGGAGATTTATTTCTGTTGATTTCCGAACCTTTGAAACTTGAATGAAACTTGAATGAATTTCTATTAATGTTCATTGCTTCCTTCACTTCGGCTCCCATTAATCCGTTGTATATCTTGCGTGTGACACAATGATTCTTTAATTTTAATTTTTCAAGAAGTAAGTATTTGGAGTTTTGATGTGAACTAAACCTTCTTTGATTGGACTAATAGTTAATGCACTCGTCCAAGTTAATGAGCACATTTGTCAATAAGAATATTGGAGGTGGAAACCCAGAAGATTTTTTATTGTTACCTTAAACAGGAAGTCCTTCGTGAAGGCACATATGGTGTTGTTTACAAAGCATTCGACACTAAGGTACAACCTGCTCTTCTGAATTTTGATTTGATGTTCATCTTTCTTTTTAATTTGATGTTTAAGGTTTTTTTTTTTTGTTTTCTTATGTTTCTTGTACAATTGTATTGGATTTGGAAGTATTTTGATTAGATACAAAATAAGATTATGTCCACACAAGCTCTCAATCTACTATTATGTCTCAATGCATAGAATAACCTTATTATTTGGTATTTTGATGTAGCTCCCCAGAACTATTGATAACTATAATCTAACATTCCCAGGTTGTAGCAGGGCACTTATATTGTAATTATGATTATACTTTAGTTGGCAGGCATACAATGTTTACTTTATGTACTTAAAATTGAGGAAATGAACCAGGGTTAGTGATTCAACTCATAATAGGCATTTCGTCATCTTTTCTGATTCACATCTCTACCTTTACATTGCTTTCCCTATCCAAACTTGCAAGGTGTAAAATCCTGTTAATTGATTTCATTAGCTAAAGATACAGTAGTAATGTTTTTTTTTTTTTGATAAAAATGTGAATTTGTAACTTAGTATTTCACACACCTGTACATGGCTGAGACAGTAAAGATGTTGATGCTCGTCCTTGTTGAAATTCCAAAGGATAGAGGCTTTGTAACTCTGCATCCCAAACTGGATAGTGGTGCATTTGCTGTTTCACAAATGAATTTAATGAGAATTCAGAATTTAATCATATGCCAAGGAATCAATGAATTATGTAATTCTGTTAATATGTTTGTAAATGTACTTGAAAGAAATCGACTTGTATAGAAAATTATTTGGGTGTTCTTTGTTTTGGATGAACATTTTTAAATGTTTTTAATCATATTAATTGCTGAAAAATGGAAATTATATATTTGGCGTTGCAGACAAGGCAGACAGTGGTAATTAAGAAAATTCGAATCGGGAAGCAGACAGAAGGGTTTAAAATCACGGATCTTAAGGAAATTAATCTGTTGAAAGAGCTCAAGGACTCGAATATAGTTGAGCTCATTGATGTTTTTCCTCATAAAGGGAGTTTGAATGTTGTGTTTGAGTTCATGGAGAAAGATTTAGGGGGTGTAATTCGTGATCGTAATATTGTGCTTTCGGCAACTGATATTAGGTCATATATTCAGATGACCTTGAAAGGGCTGGCATCCGGCCATAAGAAAGGAATTCTATATTTGTAAGTTTCTTCTGAAGTCTATTCCTAATGTTGGGTCAGCAAGGTTCTTCTTAGATTTTTTATTGTAATCAGGTTTCATTTTTTGCAGGGATTTAAAACCAGATAATCTACTGATTGGACCTCGCGGACAGCTGAAGCTTGCCGGCTTCGGCTTGGCTTGGATATTTGGAAGTCCAGACAAGATTTTTGGTCACCAGGTACGTTTCATTCTTTAAGGGTGGAGGGGAGGCCTATGGCCAAGGTAATAAAACAGAGGAAATGAAAAGATAAAAGAATGATAGATGCTGGTTGTTGTTATTGTGTTATCCGTAATTGATTGACTGTTTTTAATGTTGAAAATACTAATTGTTGTTGTTTCCATCAAGTGCCCTAGATGAACAGGTTATCTGCCTTAGAAAGGGAAGATGAATGAGAGTGATGATGCTTCTAGTCTTATATTATTTTAATTGATTAAGTGAATTGGTAATGTGTAATGGCATAGAGAAGTATGCTAGCTAAATGTTTGATTCCTGGACTCGTTGCCATTTTCAGTTGCTCAAATTTTTTCATAGAATATGGAATTGAATAATGAATGATCTAAGAAGTTATGATTGGTTTGGAAGTGATCGCAGGTAATTGGATAGGAGACATGTTCTCCTATTTTTCAAATCTTTTTATATAATTTATTTATATGAATGTCTTCCTATATTTACTCTAGTTTAGTTTGTTTTTTTTGGATTATAAAATGGACTTTTAGATTGTGCGAAATCTGATTTAAACATGACATAATCATCCCTGAAAAGTGCAGAAAAATCAGGTTCAGTCCCTCTGTTAGCAGGCTTGTTTCTCTTAGATCATGAACTCTTTTCTGGGGTTTTTTTCCTGGAACTCTTCTTCATTTATTTTAGTTTAATGTGGATTTTACGGATTTCAAAACGGAGTTGTAGACTATGCAAAAATTCAGTTTAAACAGGACATGTCGATCACCAAATTTCAGTCGAAAAAACCTGGTTTGAGCTGTTTTGGAGGCTCATGTCCTCATATTTTTGAATCTCGTTGCCCAAGTTCTATTGATACAATTCATCTCTGTTTATGCTAGATTATCATTGTTTTAAAATCTTGCTAAAAGAATGAACGATTTGCTACAAAATGTGCTTTCAATATGGCTTTTTATTCATCTTTGTGCTAAATTCAGAGTTAACATTAAAGCATCATTTTTCCTTGTCCCTAAACCCTTTTGCAGAGTTTCAGTTATTTTTTTATCCTAACATTTTAACGCTGCAGATGGAAGAATACTAAATTTTGGCACATATAATTCCATTTGTATAGGTATTTGGCCGTTGGTACAGAGCACCAGAGCTATTGTTTGGTTCAAACCAATACGGTCCAAGCGTGGATATGTGGGCTGCCGCTTGTATATTTGCTGAACTTTTATTGCAACGTCCATTCATGCAGGTAAAATTTTATTACAATGACTAACACCTGAGAAATTGGATAGCTTGTAATAGCCCATCTAATTGACTTGTTTAAGTTATGAGTAATTATTTATGTTTTTCAAATGAATAGTTTGTTAGCGTTCCTTCTTGCTTGAATTCAAGAAGCAATATGAGCGTGCATTACTTATTGGTTGAGATTATGCTTTACTGTCGTGGAAGTTAAAAGATATATGTGCCCCAGTTTTATGATTTCTATACAATCTACCCAACGAATTGGATTAAAAAAAGTATATAAGCTGCTACCTTCCTCCTCTTTAATTTTCAAATCCTTTGTGAAAGACAATGTTTAATCTTGTTGTCGACATTTGTTGTATTTTTCTCCATTTTACCTTGAAATCTTGGATGGCTTTGTTTCACTTGTTTAAATTGAAAGATGAAGATAATACAACACGTCAAGTTGATTTGTCGATGGAATGAAATTTCTTGAATACAAGTTAACAACTACATGGTTGAAAAGCATTCGCGTTTTGACCTTTTCGTGCTGAACATGTTACCTTCTCTTCGTACCAAACATGCTACAGGGAAATAGTGATATTGATCAACTGGGGAAGATCTTTGCTGCTTTTGGAACTCCAAAACCTTCACAGCAATCAGGAATGATGTATTTGCCTCATTTTCTGGAATATAAAGATGTTGCTAGGCAACCACTCCGCACACTTTTTCCAATGGCTACTGATGATGCCTTGGATCTTTTATCAAAGATGTTCACTTATGATCCAGAAACCAGGATTTCAGCACAAGCAGCATTACAATATAGGTACTCTTCATATGGTTGTGTGAATTTATGGTTGTGGCTCTTTATGTTTGCAAGCATTATTTGATTAGGTTATTGAGTTTTTTCTTGTGTGTCAAATTTTGTCTGATTCTTCAAAGTTTCATAATGAAGCAGGGATATGGGTTAAAAATTTCTGAAATTTCTCAAGACCTGTTGAAAATCATTAAATACTTTAGCGTGAGCTGCTGATTTGGAACATTAGTTCCCCACTATTAAGAAGACTTTTCTTAAGTTTTTTTTCCATGAAACTATTGTATGCTCAATATCAATAGATTCAATTTTAATGGACCATTACATGGAATCATAATCTGTTTTTTTTTTAAAAAAAAAAAAAGAAAAAACTCATTTCAGCATAACATGTCAATGTTGAAATTCTGAATTGTGCAGCTGTTTTGGGATGTTTTTTCGAATGTTTGATAAAGATTATTTCGGTATTCAAGGATCATCAAACAAGCTCTTTATTTTTTTTTTCTGAATTTAAATACTCTAACCAGACTGATTTACTGAAAAGTTGATATAGTGTAACTTGAATCAGCTAAACCTATCTAGCTTGTTAGACTAAAAGATTTATCGTATAAGAGTGCCAACACGTATGGTTTTTTTGTTATTTTAGGTACTTCTCTTCTGGACCTCTATCCATGGAACCAGATTCACTTCCAAGACTTGCTCAGGAAAAGGATGCGTACAATCCACAGGATGGTCCAGCTATATTGTCTACGGGATGGTCAACAGAATTAAATCTACAAGATGGTCCAAATCATTTGGCTCCTCCAAGAAAGTCTAGAAGGGTTATGCCAAATCCTGAATTCCTTTTGAGTGCTAACTTGGGAGAAAGTACGAAATATACTACCCTGGAGAAAGCTCCTATACTCTCATTGAGTGAATTTTTAGGAATCAGGTCAAAACAGTTTGTATCACCCTCAAGTATTTCCACAATGAAACAATTGGAAAGAAGCTATAACTTGCATCACACTAGTAAATCCAAATCTTTGAAAGTGAAAAGCAAGGAACCAAAGGATGCAACTGCAAAGAAAATGAGTTGTCCTGAATTGGTTGAAGCAGATATCAAATTCATTGAAATGGATCAATCTTGGAATGAAACCAATGATGAGAAGGTGTGTTAAAATACGAGTAAAAATTTCACTATATGTATATTCGACTTTTACTTGTTTAGTGTTTTAATCTTGTTTTTATTGAAGGTTTCATAATATTTTTTTGATTCGTAGGTAATGAACACATTAGCTGCACAAGTACAAACTTTGAAAGTGAACAATAAAGGGTCAAAGGATGCAACTGCTAAGACAAAGAGTTGCTCAGAATGGGAAGAAGCAGATGTATGTATCATTGGCACAAAGATAGTTAAGGATGAGAAGGTTTGTTTAATTTGAATACAAGTTTAGATTAAAATATATATGTATATATTTTTGAATTTTAGTTTTTTAGTGTGTTTAATCTTGGTACGTCTCACAATATTATATGATTTGTAGGTAATCAACACATCAAAGGCACCACCACTTTGCAAAGAGAAGGTATCGATTTACCTTTGTTGTTAAGTATCATATTTGGTAATGATATAGTACTCATAATAATTTATTCTTTTAGGTCATCTTCACAACTAGTTCACCATTAAAAGAAGCCGAACCATTTGATGAGAATGCGCCGTATTGTGAATATCACGATGTATTTGGACATGGTTTTGATCATTGTCCACAAGCACTCCTTAAATGTGACTTTTGTAACAGGGGATGCCACTCGAGGAGTCAATGTGCTGAACTTCGGGTAAATTGTTTGATGTTTGTTAATTTTAAGTATAATATGATAGTTACTATGACATTTCTAGGTGGCGGAAGGCAACTTAGAGGCAGAACCAACGGTGAATATGCAAGATGTCATAAAGGTATGCAATAATGTTTTGTTGTAGTATTTTATTTATCAAAAATTTGTATTTGCTTATTATGTATAATTTTGCAGGAGATTTCAGGTTACTTTGATAGACCACAGCAAAAAGTGATTCAATATGTGTTTAATGAAGGGGACTCACTGTAAGTTCAATGTTTTATATGTTCTTCGTATGCATGTATATCAATTTATATTTAATGATGTCTTACACACCTAATTGGTTATCTGAAAATTTTCTCTTGTAGCGAGTGTTTAGCTGAAATTTATATGGAAACTGTGACTCGTGCTTCGCTGGTCACATTGAAACCCGAAGGATGGTTGAATTCTGAGGTAATTGTTATTTAAAAGGAACAAATTATTAATTATTTTGGTAGTCATTTTAAAATAAGTTGACGTTTATTTTGTAGGTTATAAATATTTTCACCAATATTCAAACTCTAAAACAACATGCCATGTGGGGAAAAGGGCAATACCGTGTTTGGTTTTTGCCACACTACATCACGGTATTAATTTAAAGAATTTTTCATTATTAAAATTGCAACACGAGTTAACATATTTATAATTGTTTATCTTTTGTTGCAGGAGGAATTAAAGTCAGATGTTAGAGATGATAAGGTGTTAAAGAAGATATGGAAAAAATATTTGACGCAAGATACTTATGGTGGTGACATTCATAGCTGTAAAAGGTACCATGTCTTTTTTTTTAAAATACGAAATTTCTAGTTGAAAAGATTAGAGTTTACATTTTGATTTGGTAATTAAAAAATGTATACTCTACTTACTTTCCCTTGTTTTATTTGAATGTATACAAATAACAGATGTTCATTCCAATAAATGATGGAGGACGCTATTGGTATGGATGTATGATTAATTTCGAGGAAAGGCGTGTTTCAATGCTAGATTCAATGGCATCTTCTTGTGATCAAAGAAAAGCATTGGTGGTAAAAATGGTAATAATTTGTAGTATGCAAATATGTAATAAAACAAAATTCTTATATTTGTTCATTCATACAACTCCATGTTTGCTAACATATTAGTTTTCTATGAAAAGGTTAAAGTGTTGAAGGATGTACTTGAAATAGGATTTGGCAACACATACAAAGGCAACATCATCTCTTTTCCAATTGAGGTACCAGACTGGTTGCCTAAACAACGTAATTGGTGAGTTTTATTCTGTTCTTAATTAAAAATCTATTTATTTTTTTTGTAAGTTTGAAAAACTCTACGAAATTATGATCATCATAATAAAAGAACAAATATATTTTTCTTTCAAACATGTACGATTGTGGAATGTACGTGATCAAATTCATGGAGCTTTACTTTATTATGGACGAAGGGGTCCCTTTTAGCTTGAATTCGGAATTGGATCGAATGGATTTGTTAGTCAAAATTATTTTCCATGATCAAAATGATTGTAGGAAGAGGTTGTTCCATAATTTGCATCCAAGAAGTTCATGTCTTGGAGTAGTGATCAAAATGGAAGTAGTGTTTAAATTGTTTGCAATTTTCTGTGTTTTCACATTCTAAGATTATTTGAGTTTTTTGGACATCAACATTTTAGAAGAATGTGTTAGTGGTTATTGTTGATATTTAAGGCTTTGTAATGATACCCTTTTTTTTGGGTTTAAACTTCGCTAGTCTTTAATATATGATATTGTTGTTTCTTTTGAAGCCATTGTGTATGGTGCTGCTCGTACTTATTGAAGATGACAAATTTCTTGATATGTATATTATGTGTGTTGCTTCCAACAAGTCTTTCATCACTTATATAAAAGGTAAAGTAACAACAAAAAGATTATATTAAAAAATTTGTAATAAGATGATTGTTTTTATTTTTTGTTTAAAAGGCATTTAAATAATGTAGATGCTTGCAAGTGAGCTCGGATATCTCTTCAAATATATATTTTAACCATCTTAAAAGTCATATATCAATAAAAATTTTCAAAAAAGAAAAAAACAATACAAGTGACACAAATAGCCAAAATTCAACGTGAATATCAAATATATAAGTATTTCAGCCATCTTAAATGACATAGACCAATGAAAATTTTCAACAACAAAAAAAATCCAATGTGAATATTTTAAATAAATAAGAAACTCATATACCATTCAAACTTCAGTAATCCTACATTTCAAACAAAATCAGCTAGAGCGGTAGTGTCAAATGAATGGCATATATTACATTTATTTCACATCTTCCTTTTGCTCAGCTCCTCCAACCTCTTTTCCCATGCACCTTCCTAGTCAATGCCGAATATGATATAATTAATTCATATATATAAAAAATTAAACTACACAAATGTATCAATAATTTTTCTCTATTATAAACTCACCATATCTTAGCAAACTCAAGTTGCATCAGATTCTTCGACCTGACTTGCCACATTGTTGTTCTGGTTGTTTTTTCCCCTCATTGGACAAGTTGTTTTCTTATGACCCAATATATTGATGAATGAAAAAGAATAAAGATTAGATATATTTCTTTAAATAACTAAGAAACTAAACTTCAATATCAAAAAAAGGTCAGAAGTATTTACTCGCAGATACTGCATCTTCGCTGTTTCTTTGGAGTTGGGGTTGAGCCAGTTGCTTTTACTGGACGACCTTTTGTTTTGTCTGTGCTGGATCACAAACTCCAAATCGAGCCTTCTTCGCAACGTGGGAGCTGCCAATATCATTGTCTGGTGCACTGGCCTTTTCAGATATCACCCTCATACGCTCAGTGAGGTCTGCTAATATTGGTGTTAATGTCTCATACCCTTCGTCACAAACTGACGCATAATGACAAATTTGATTGCACTTGCCGCTTAATACCCCGAATCTTGCAGCCTGAGTAAGACTTTTAGGAATAGAACATTGAATACCACCATTGGCATATTCTTTTGCATTTCTCATCCATCTGTTAAGTACACAATGTGAAGGAAACTTCTGCAAACGTTTAGATTTCATCACTGAAAATATATGAGAGCAGGGCCACCCAGCAGTTTCAAAGGTTACACAAGAACATCGAAATTGAATTTTATCAACATTGTATGAAACGTTCCAGCAAGCTGAAGAGTTTGAGTATAATGTCACTTCGTAAACCTTAGAAGAACCTATCTCCTGAATAAGCTTAGGAATCAGCATCGCTGCCTCTTCCAGTTCTTGACGAATTTTAAAAAACACATTCCTTGTACATAGATCGCTTATGTCCTTCTCAAAATTAGGCCAGTGAGAGATCAAAACTGGCATGGTGTTACATGTGACAGTGACTGCTTCTGCTTCCTTATTTCGCATCTTTACCAAACCGAATTCAAGAGACCTCACAAATTGATACAATCTCATCTTCGAGTGCAAATATATTTTGAACACTGCATTCATGCCTTCACACTGGGATGTTGCTCTCATGTTTCCCCAAAAATGTCCCCTTAGGTAGGCGTCTGCCCATTTTGACCGTTTCTCATACATATCTTTAACCCAAGAATTATCCTGCAAGCTACATTCTTCAACTAGTTCCTTCCATTTATTCTCAAATTCTTCTTCTGTGCCCTTTAGTTTTATGAATTTACCAAAACTATCCCTGAATTCTTTAGATCGAACATTAGCCAAAGCATTATTTTGAATGTGCCAAGTGCATAACCTATACCTCACTCTAGAGAATTCCCTCTCAATAGCTTTTCTCATTGCATGATCTCCGTCTATAATTACTGCATCTGGTTTCTTTCCACCCATTGCTTCCATTAATCTTTGCAAAACCCAAACATATGATGCCTCAACTTCATCTGATAATAATGCACAACCAAAAACTATTGTCATATAATGGTTGTTGACACCAGAAAAAATAACCAATGGTTTACCGTACACATTGGTACGATATGTGGAGTCAAAAATCAACACATCACAACAGCAAACTAGTTCTTGGCTTCCATGATGGGGTGAGCTTATAAGTCTAGACGGAAGAGGCAATCCTTTCCTTTATTGTATATGTCAAACAGTAAATCAATGTAGTGAATTGCAAGCTCCTTACATCGCAAAAGAACACTTCGATCTTCTTGCTGCACTTCTGAAACATTTTCTTTTGGCTTGTTCTGAGGGTGCCCGTCGTTAAGTACTCAGCCAAAGCCTTCAAACTGAAAACAATAAAGTATCAATACATTCCTAATTAAGACAATGATAGGAAACAAAATTCAGGACGTTAGCTGAACAAGATAGGCTTTTAGCCTTTTAGCTAGGAGTGTTAAGCTCACGGTTTGACATTAATTCCAAATGTATCCTCGATTTTGCTATTTACCTGATTAAGGAAAGGAAAATTCTAATTTCATCTTAGAATAAAATGAAGTTATGATCATACCTCATTACAGCTGAATCTCTTGGAAGCAGTGGGCTGGTGTTGAATTTATTAGAAGAAATTTTATATCGGTAGAGAGCACAAACGGCATTCATGCAAGGTTCAAAATCATTCTGAAAAGCTGAAAGCATTTCAGCTGCCGACTTCAACCCTATCTCCTTGTATCTTTTAAACTTCTCCAACTTATGCACCATGTAAGATTCAAAACACATACCACCTAGGTCACTTCCACTTGAGGAGCCATCATCACCATCATCAACATCATGCACTCCTCCGAAATCAATCATCTTTCGTTTTTGAGCTGCAACTCTTTCAGCCTCAAAATCACGGATATAAATGATAATTGGAGATTGAAGGTTTTCTAGTAACTGGAACAAGTGATGCAGCTGGCTCACTGGAGCTCCTCTCTTCAACATCTAGCTCTCAGGCACCGCCAATTTCATCAGTACAACTAACATTTGGAGAGGTATAGCTTGAAATGAGTGCATAACAGTTAAAAAAAAACTAGGAGAGGCAAAAATAAACAGAATTCAAAGTTTTGAATAGAGAAATCTCTTCTGTGTATATGGCAATATCATGTCTTGAAGATAAGGTGAAACATATTAAGTTCTGCAGCACCCCATCAAAAATGCTAATAAAATACAAATCATGACCTACCTTCAAAGGGAAAATCCATTTGAGGAGAGGCTGTCCTCGGCAAAACAACTACCTCATTGCAGCCAATAGAAAATGCCTTCACGGTTGTCTTCTTGATTTTTTTATTCCGGTCCATCTTGCAGCTTTTTGACGCCAAAGCCGGCATTCTCACTTTCCAGCTAGCTGTCAAGAAGTTCATTATGCACATCTTCCTTGCCCTCAGAGCCCCTTTCACCACCAAAACCAGAATCGAGCACGACATCATACAAAACTGCTTTAGCAAAGCTACCAACTGCAGCACTACTACGCATCTGGAAAATCTTCTCAACTTCCTCTTTAACATACTCATAGCAGATGCCCTCCCTTAGATTCTTAACATCCACATCATCTATATCCGATATGCTCTCCTCCAACGTGTGAATCGTTATCCCTTCTCTACGCAAAATGCTATAAAGACGTTTGAACAACAGAACAACTCCTCAGCAGCAGTCAACTTTTGCCTCCTTTGCTTCACTCCAAGTCCTAACTTCTCAATCTCCTCATATTTATTCTCTAAACTCCTCCAGCAGTTTATCCCTCTCACGTTTCTTCTCATTCTAGCTTCCTTCACCATGGTTTCAAACCTCCTCTCTGAGTCCTTCAAGTTCTGTTCAATAGCTAACCTCTTGAGTTCTGATTTATCGCGTTCTTTCAGCAAAAAAACCATGCTTTTCTTCCATCAAAATCAGGATCCCTTCTCACAATTTTGATCAACTCCTCAGCTCTGGACAACTTTTGAGCAGTCTGCTTCCCTGCAAGTCTTAACTTTTCAATCTCCTCAACTTTCCTGTTTACCTCTTCAACCATTTTACCCCTCTCATTCTTTCTCAAACCTTAACTCTGCTTTCTTCAAGCCATTTTCGATCACGAGTCGCTTATGCTCCGATTCATCAAATATTTTGATGAATCTTCAAAAATCAAAACATTAACAAAGAGTGAGAAAAAGTAATCAGAAGAGAACTTGAAATGTATTGGCACTTTACAATCCAATACTTATCCTATAAACCAGAAAAACTCAGATCCCCGAGTTATATGCATACATGGTAGTTCAAGGTAATAGCACAACCTATGTCATTTTCTCAGACAATTAAATTCAGCCTGGATATAAATCAAAAGCCATCTGAGAATTAAAAGAGTCAGTTTCAATACCTCAAACCTAACTGAAGCTCAAAGGAATCTTCAGCACAGGTTAGTCAAACTCCATTTAAATGCATTCAATTTCCGATTCTCATTTTCTTTTGCTGCAAAGCAAATATAATAAATGAGGAATAAGAATAAATGAACACATATATTACAAGGCACTGTAACTACCCTGCATCATATAGAGTGTTGGATGAGTATGATGGCAACAAAAGATTCAAATAACAAACCTGCCACTGTGGTTCCTCGACAAATGGATTTTCACGCACAAATGTTACAACATATTCTGCCGTAGCTACTTGGTTTAGATATGAGCATAAATCACCGTGTATAGCTGTTTAAAATTGGAATTGTGTGAAAATATTATTAAATAAATAATAACAAAGAAACAAGTTATAAAACTTTATACATCTCACCTAAACGTTTATCAAATTCCTTATTTATATAAGTAAATGTAATTGGATGTATTACATTGCCAGCCTGTAAAATATCATAAAGAAACACGACGTGTTAAGAATAATAGTTACACGGGAAAAAATAGGTTAGATAGTAAAAAGAAAAAAATACCTACAAGATTTCTCACGCTTTTTTCGATGGAATCGTCCGCAAGTAAAGTATTGCTCTCATCGAATTTCCCATATTTCATTGCCCGTAAATCTACCCAAATACGAGTCAAATCTTTACAAAAAACTTGGTTTACTTTACAACATTGTTCTTGACTCTGTAGACAATAAAAAACGTAACCATTCAGCACTATGAAGAAAGAGTGAGGCCAGTATAAAATTATTCTAATCTACGAATACGTGCTCTTCACCACATACATGTTTTTTAATGAATAATTTATTTAAACTTACTATTTTAAAGCTTGTGTAAAATTCAAAACTTTCTCAATAATACAAACTTACATATCTACAAATGAATCTATCACGAGCACTTGGGAACAGATTTTGCAAAATAGGATCTAGATTTTCCCTGCAAACAAAGTAGCAGAAAATCAAAGTTTTGAGACATTGAGTTTACATGATATAAAAAACAAGTATACTTTTAAATCATACCACTTTCTTGATGACCATATGGCAACATGAAATCGTTCGAAGCAAAATTCAAGGAATTCATCACTGTATTTTCTCTTGAAAACTGAAATAAAAAATATAGTAGATAAGTAAGCAAAATTGTTTTGAGTTAGATATGACATTCAATTACACAAAATAGAATAATCTTACCATAAGAATGCATCATTACATAGTCACATTCTGTATGCAAATTTAGGCCCAGAACACTCTGTTTATGCACCACATCAACGAGAACTCCATTCAAATCAAGAATCAATAGCTTCTTTTGAAACTGTTTCTCAACATCTCTAGCCAAATCAACGGGCATCAAATCAAGTTTTTTCCCAGTTATTCATTCCATGCACATCCCTATGACTCTCAAAACCTGATACATTATTCTCCATCACATCCTCATCATCAACTCTAATCCACTTTTGGTCATTTATTTGCATCCGCTGATCAAATACATCATTTCCCAATCTTTGTCTCCAAATTTTAAAATAATCTTTTCTCCCATTACCTCTTGGAGCCGGAGCACGAACAAATTTTCTATATGAACTCTTCACTCGGGTTTGATATAGAATTTTCATATCCCTACTCACATTTTCATCAATATGAAGTTGAACCTTTCCATTGTATGGGAGATGATACATGTGGTTTTCAATACAGAAGAAAGGGACAACGGCTAGTTCCCTATGCATTTGATACTTGAAATAGCATGGCATAGTACTTGAATAGGGCATCCAAACAATATTCTCCTACAAAAATTAAATAATAGGTATTATGCATGAAACAACTTTTCAAATAAAAGTAGTCTACTAGAAAGAAACTTAAACAACAAATATTCGAGAAATAAATGTGGTAGGAGAAAGCAGCATCTAATATACTGATAATAACTTTAGGGGAAACAATATTGAGAAAACAAACTACCATGTATTATAAAACTACACAAAATGGAAGTAATACGGTGAACAAAACTTACAGCAGTTAACCCATTGATACATTGTTGGATAAGTTCTGTTGTAATGTCACTGCGAGTTTTGTGCATCGTCTTCCATAATATTTTAGCCCATCCAATAATCAATGGAAATTCTTTTGGGTGTTCACGTAAATCGAATAAATTCCTTAAACTGGGTAAATGTTCCAAAGCAAAAACCTAAAAGAATAATAAATGCCAAAAAGAAAACTAGAAGTTAATAAAGATTATGAAATACAACATGATAATCATCAATCCAATAATAATAATAATAATAATAATAATAATAATAATAATAATAATAATAATATATACCGTCAGCGCCGACATTGACCCACCAATTCTTTGTTGACTTGTTTCTTTACAAACCTGCAAACTCTGATGTATTTCCACAAGACACGCTTCTCCCCAAGCATAATCATTTATCTCATCAAGGTTTATCAAAAAATTTCCATACAACCCTTTTACATGTTTTGAGCTAGAGTTCGGGAAAACAAGAGTTCCCAACAAAAGTAAAACTGTAGCCCTTACTCTAATTACAAAAGGTTGATCACTCATAGCAAGTTCTTTTAACTTTTTCAACACAAAACCCTTCTTTTCATAAACCCCTTCTATGTAAGGAAATAGAATTTTTGCAATATCTTCTCCACGTGCTTCTATTGTCACTTCAGGTTTACCCACTATCCTCAAACCAGTAATGTATAAAATATCCCTTAAACCAAAATATAATTCACAAGAGCTATCCCCTAACCTAAAGGTAAATGTTTTCGTATCGTAACAATCAACCAAAACAGAAATTAAGGGTTTACAATAAAAAAACTGATGATTTGCCAATTTGAGGAGGTTCGCAAAGCCACTCCCATGTAAAAATTGTCTAACATTGAGTCCAACAACGAAACCATTTAACATTGCAGAATGCTCATTCAGCGTAACAGACTTCATGTTGACCTATCATTGACAAACAAAAGGGGCAAAAAAAAATCTAAGATGAATTTCCCGTAATGATTTCAAAAAAAACATGTTGAAACATCAAGAGGAAAATGCTTCACAAAACAGGAAGTTAAAGCTTCAGTAACGTTAAAAATTTCATGTTCGGTCTGTCAAATTCAAATCCAGTTTTTTGGCAATCTATATCCTCAAATTAGTATCTCAAATTATAAGGCTCCCTGTTATTCCACTATAGCTCTGTAAACTCAGATTATAAGGTTCCCTCTTATTGCTGCTACAAGTCTAAAAGGTCAGATTACTGTGATGATGTGAAAGTAATTAGTTTAGCTACAAAATTAGACATACATAGACCTACTCAACAAAATTTTAAGCTTATCGAATCTCTAAAGGTCCAGAAAAGCTAAGATGGAGCAAAATCACTTTCAAAAGCTAGTTCCTGCCTTTTCCTAAGTTCAGCCAGCATTATGGGGGTTCAATTAAGTAGTTTTCCGAACATAATCATGCATACGACACAAGGAGATTATGAAACCTCATTATCCTTTTTAAAAGTGTATAATAGTAACATGAGCCTTTGCCTCCCTGAACCTACGACCCCTTTCTCTCCCTTTTTTTTTCGAATTGAAAACTAATACCAACTAAGAATCAAGGAGGAAGTTTAGCATACAGACTCCCTATTCTATCATCTTATTTTTTTATTCATTTTTTAACAAAACCACTTAATCAGGCAAGGGTTCCACATGCAATCGAAAAAATTAATGAAGATAGAAGCAAAAGAAGAGCTACTCTTCCAGAATTCGTTTTACCATTCAATCTAAGAATTTCGAATTTAACTCACTAGAAGGAGATTAACATATTACCTCGATGAACGGAAGATTTAAACTATGTTCCCTCTTTGAATTGAATCCCCAAATTGATAGCTATAAGCTCTCTGTTCCTTTTCTTTCTCAAAGCTCCCCGTGTTCTCCTTTTCCCCTTCAAATAATTCAAATGGTCTGTTGTCAACGCGTGGGATTAAAAGGTGGTGGAAGATTGGGCGGTTTGGAAATGGAGGATGAGTGGTGAGGGTGCTGTTTCACGCCGTTTCGGAGGAGTTTGGGCGAAGAAGAGACTAATTTTTGACTTGGGTTTTTTTTTATCATTAAATTCTTGCCTGTTGTTTTTTATCCCGTTCGAGTTTCACCTTGACTCTTATAAACTACTAAAAAGACATAACTATCCAGTCCAATCTCCTTCACCAAAGGTAATACTACTGGTGTCCAAGTCCTAGACTCCTTCTATTCGGGGGTAATTTGGTCATTTTGGCGATGGGATCGGATTTGTAACTTGAATTTTTTATTTTTATATTTTTTTTTTGTGAAGAGGGGGATCGGATTTGTTGATAATTTGATTTACATCTTTATAATATCCCATCTCCAAAAATTATGATGCTTATACAATATTAAATTTGTACTCACTCCCTCCCAAGATAATTAGTTCTTTATACGACATCTCTATAGTAATATTTCTTTATTTGATTTCCCTAAAAGATGCTATCTCCGTCCCAAAAGAATAATCCACATTGAGTTTGCAAATTTGTAGTAAAAACAGTACAAAACCCAAAACATCAATGTAGACAATGTTTTTGGGACGGAGGAAGTAGTATACTACATTTTATACATAATGACGGAGTGATAAAAATAAAACAAAATATTACTAATATAAATTAAAATTGTGCAATGTTTAATGTCAATGTGTATATTATTTTAAGTACCTTTAGAATGATTTTCGATTTTCAGTCCATATTTTACATTTCATCATAATTTATTAGAGATTGTCAATTTCATATTAATGTATTATACTTCGGCAATTAATACACCCGTTATATATTAGCAAATTCCGACCATCCACTTGGTCAAACTAGCACCACACTTAATTAATTTAATTTTCTGAACATTTAATTAATAGCTGCTAACTTAATTAATAAGCCTAATTTATTAATTAAAATAAAGCATACATTTAATTTTTTAAGATATTAAATAAAAAACATAATGAATTTAATTTTGTATTTGGTCATTCTACGTAAATTAACAAAAATCAGTGTAATGAACAAAAAGACATAAATATCCAGTCCAATCTCCTTCACTAAAGGTAATACTACTGGAGTCCAAGTCCTGGACTCCCTCTATTCGAGGGTAATTTGGTCATTTTGGCGATGGGATCGTATTTGTAACATGAATTGTTTATTTATTTTTATTTTTTTTTGTGAAGAGGGGGATCAGATTTGTTGATAATTTGATTTACATCTTTATAATATCCCATCTCCAAAAATTCTGATGCTTATACAATGTTAAATTTGTACTCACTCCGTCCCAAGATAATTAGTGCTTTATACGACATCTCTATAGTAATATTTCTTTATTTGATTTCCCTAGAAGATACTATCTCCGTCCAAAAAACAATAGTCCACATTAAGTTTGCAAATTTGTAGTAAAAACAGTACAAAACTCAAAACTCAATGTAGACAATGTTTTTGGGACGGAGGAAGTAGTATACTACATTTTATACATAATGACGGAGTGATAAATATAAAACAAAATATTACTAATATAAATTGAAATTGTGCAATGTTTAATGTCAATGTGTATTTTTATTTTAAGTACCTTTAGAATGATTTTCGATTTTCAGTCCATATTTATATTTCATCATAATTTATTAGAGATTGTAAATTTAAGATTATTGTATTTTATTTTGGCAATTTAATACTTCCGTTATGTATTTAGCAAATTTCGCCCATTCACTTGGTCAAACTACTACAACACTTAATTAATTTAATTTTCTGGTAATTTAATTACTAAGCCTAATTTATTTATTAAAATTAAGCATGCATTTAATTTTTTTAGATATTATATAACAAACAAAATTAATACAATTTTGTATTTGGTTATTCTACATAACTTAACAAAAATCAGTCGAACGAACGAAAAGACATAAATATCCAGTCCAATCTCATTTACTAAAGGTAATAATACTGGAGTCCAAGTCCTGGACTCCTACATATAGGGGTAATTTAGTCATTTTGGCGATGAGATTGGATTTGTCACTTGATTTTTTTTTTTTTTTGTGTGCAGAGGGGGATCGGATTTGTGGATAAACCGATTTACATCTTTATTTTAAGTACCTTTAGAATTATTTTCGATTTTCAGTCCATATTTTACATTTCATCATAATTTATTAGAGATTGTAAATTTCATATTAATGCATTATACTTCGGCAATTTAATACTTCCGTTATATATTTAGCAGATTCCGCCCATTCACTTGGTCAAACTAGTACAACACTTAATTTTTTAAGATATTAAATAAAAAACATAATGAATTTAATTTGTATTTGGTTATTCTACATAAATTAACAAAAATTAGTGTAACGAACAAAAAGACATAAATATCCAGTCCAATCTCCTTCACTAAAGGTAATACTACTGGAGTCCAAGTCCTGGACTCCTTCTATTCGGGAGTAATTTGGTCATTTTGGCGATGGGATTGGATTTGTAACTTGAATTTATTATTTTTTTATTTATTTTTTTTGTGAGGAGGGGGATCGGATTTGTTGATAATTTCATTTACATCTTTATAATATCCCATCTCCAAAAATTATGATGCCTATACAATCTTAAATTTGTACTCACTCCGTCCCAAGATAATTAGTGTTTTATACGACATCTCTATAGTAATATTTCTTTATTTGATTTCCCTAAAAGATACTATCTCCGTCCAAAAAAAAAATATTCCACATTAAGTTTGCAAATTTGTAGTAAAAACAGTACAAAACTCAAAACTCAATGTAGACAATGTTTTTGGGACGGAGGAAGTAAAATACTACATTTTATACATAATGACGGATGATAAATATAAAACAAAATATTACTAATATAGATTGAAATTGTGCAATGTTTAATGTCAATATGTATTGTTATTTTAAGTACCTTTAGAATGATTTTCGATTTTCAGTCCATATTTACATTTCATCATAATTTATTAGAGATTGTAAATTTAAGATTAATGTATTATATTTTGGCAATTTAATACTTCCGTTATGTATTTAGCAAATTTCGCCCATTCACTTGGTCAAACTAGTACAACACTTAATTAATTTAATTTTCTGGTAATTTAATTACTAAGCCTAATTCATTTATTAAAATTAAGCATGCATTTAATTTTTTTAGATATTATATAACAAACATAATTACTATAATTTTGTATTTGGTTATTCTACATAACTTAACAAAAATCAATCGAACAAACGAAAAGACATAAATATCCAGTCCAATCTCATTTACTAAAGGTAATAATACTGGAGTCCAAGTCCTGGACTTCTGCCTATAGGGGTAATATAGTCATTTTGGCGATAAGATTGGATTTGTAACTTGAATTTTTTTTTTTTTTGTGTGAAGAGGGGGATCGGATAATTGGATAAACCGATTTACATCTTTATTTTAAGTACCTTTAGAATGATTTTCGATTTTCAGTCCATATTTTACATTTCATCAGAATTTATTAGAGATTGTAAATTTCATATTAATGCATTATACTTCGGCAATTTAATACTTCCGTTATATATTTAGCAAATTCCGCCCATTCACTTGGTCAAACTAGTATAACACCTAATTAATTTAATTTTCTGGGAATTTAATTAATAAGCCTAATTTATTTTTTAAAATTAAGCACGCATTTAATTTGTTTAGATATTATATAACAAACATAATTAATATAATTTTGTATTTGGTTATTCTACATAACTTAACAAAAATCAGTCGAACGAACGAAAAGACATAAATATCCAGTCCAATCTCAGTTACTAAAGGTAATAATACTGGAGTCCAAGTCCCGGACTCCTGCCTATAGGGGTAATTTAGTCATTTTAGCGATGGGATTGGATTTGTAACTTGATTTTTTTTTTTTTGTGTGTGAAGAGGGGGATCGGATTTGTGGATAAACCGATTTACATCTTTATTTTAA